GAAGAGTTATCGAATAAACGGACGGCCGGACACACTGACCGATTCTATAGTGTACTCTTTTTTTTTTGAGTACACAAAAAGAGCGAGTCGAGAAGTCATCATATAAATTTTCGACTGTAGACAAAAGTTTTTTTCTAGATCATAAGTGAAATGATGATATATCAACTTTTGAAACACCTATAACAGAATATGGCATACCGAACAAATTAAAGATATATTTCCATCCGAATAAGTTCATTTTCAAATCAACTAACTGAACAGGTATCTATTAGTCGTATAAATTGCTCGAAATCAACCGGGCGTACATAATGCCGATGGAAGTTCAGTTAGTAACCATGTTCATCTCTTGTTGATGCACATTCTCATTTACATATGAAGAGAATTGATAAGTTATGCGACATAGTAGGTACATATCATCATTTCCAGAAAAAAATAGTTCTATCTTTGTGCTCTCTGAGGTCTATTGAACAGTATTTCTTTGACAAAAATATTTCTTGTCTTTACTATCGCATTGAATAGAATATGTTTAATTGCTAGATATAAAATTTCAATGCAAAAAAACAACAACTCATTGAAATCATCTATTTCATTATAGAACTGGAAATTCTGAAAGGATGAACTCCGATGAAAATGATTCAGATAAATTCTGATTTAAGTTCACTTCAAATGGTATATATTTACCTGATCTTCATTTGTCTTTTCATCTTGCATTGGAGGAAAAACAAAAGTATCATCTTCATCCTAAACAAGACAAATAATCGTCTATGATACAAACAACAAAATATAGTTCGTACAGTTTTTGTAGATCGCAAGGCAAAAAATCGTAATTCATTATCTGAACAGCCAGTTACTAAGTATCGATCATGTGCTAAAGCAATACTCCACACCTATTTTTCACAAAAAAAAAATAAATAAAATTCAAAGTAAATAATACTAAAAGAACAAAACCTCTGTTCGATGAGTAACAATTGTGTGAAAACAATGTTGAATAGTCATATCCCAGAATTTAATTGTCATATCTTTTGAACTAGAAAATAATTTTACATCACATTTAACTGACTTTTTTTATTGTCTATTACTACCTTGAAATAATTACTGGTTGACTTTCCATCAGAATAATTTTAGTTATAGGAGCTTTATGGCCTCGAAGACGATACAGACCAGCATCAGTAATTAAATCCCAAGCAATAATATCTGTATCCTAATAAGAAAAAGAAAATAGGTCATTTTTTTTCAATAAAATATATTTCATTATTTATAAATACTTTAGATCCTGAGATAAGTGTTGCAGAATCTTGTGTAAATATCAATGTTGTTATAGTCGATTTATGTCCATGAAAATTCACCGTTGTTTCATTTTGTGTCAAAGAAAATATTTTAATAATTCCATTTTGATATCCGACCGCTAAATGTTTTCCGTTAGGGCTAACACTAACAACAATTACTTCTTCACGAGTTTTTTTCTTTGATACTGATGTTGAGCTTGCTTCATCGGCAAATTTATTTATCTTTAAATTAATTAATTTAGAATAGATAAATAAAAAACCAATAATGAAAGAAATAAAAAAAATACTTGTGAATGAGTTTTTAGATCCCATAACAGAACACTTTCACATGCTGGAACAAATACACGACGTGCATTAGATTTAGTTGTTGATGGTAATAACGCAATATTATTTGCATTACCACTACCGATGATACCAAAGACTTTTTCTGGAACATGACGGTCATATTGTTTTGTGAGAACCATCTTTAATGACAAACAAGAATTACTTTACAAGTGATTATTTGAGATACAAATCTTTCAGATTGTTAACAATTGCAATAATCAATCTTCTCTAAAGTAATTATCATCAATCTAACTTAATTTTAAGAAGAAATTTAACTTTCCCATTGAATCGAATTTCGATAGCTTACTCGGTAATTTCCAATAAATTATCTATCATAGTCCTCCGCAATAAAAAAAAACATAGATGTCACTAATTAAACAAAAACCATAAACAGCAATGATACAATATTTACTTTCTCGAAGTCACTCGATCACAAGTATTCAAGATGGTGACGTTGCAAAGCAGCTGATATCTCGATTGAAATTGAAACATGAATCATCCTAAAAGCAAACATTTCTATTATAATATATTCTAGATTCTTTTCTTCATTTTCAACTAGAATACAAATCATTGAAATTTTTTCATAAAAAGAATGGCATATGCGTATCTTTTCAAATACATTATTATTGGTGATACAGGTGTGTTTTTTTTATATTAGTTCGAGTGGTGATAATTAGTTTTTTTATTTGTTTATTTCAGGTGTTGGCAAATCTTGTTTGTTACTTCAATTTACCGATAAACGATTTCAACCTGTACATGATCTAACAATTGGTATGATAGATAGGAATAGAAATTCTTATTCAATTGATGTTTTATTTTGAAAGGTGTGGAATTTGGAGCACGAATGATTACAATTGATGGAAAACAAATAAAATTACAAATCTGGGATACAGTTTAGTTTTCATCAAAAACATTTTTCTATAAAAGGAAATATTACATTTTTCTTAGGCTGGACAAGAAAGTTTTCGTTCAATAACTCGTTCATACTATCGTGGTGCAGCTGGTGCTCTACTTGTCTATGACATAACACAGTAAAATACAAAAGATCTATTTTATATATTGAATAACGCTTTATTTTTCAAAAGACGTCATACATTTAATCATTTAACCAGTTGGCTTGAAGATGCTCGACAACATTCCAATTCAAATATGGTTATTATGTTGATTGGAAACAAATGGTAAGATTATTTGTCTTTTTGTACGAGTGAGCGAGAGAAAAAACGAGATAGAGTTGGAATAATTTCAAGTCTATTGTAACTATTTATTTTTAGTGATCTTTTTGCTCGACGTGAAGTGCAAAAAGAAGAAGGTGAAGCATTTGCGCGTGAACATGGATTAATATTTATGGAAACGTCAGCTAAAACAGCAGCCAATGTTGAAGAGGTTTTACCTTATTTCAAAATAGAATAAAATAATGAGTTTCTATGGTTTTTCAGGCATTTATCAATACAGCTCGTGAAATTTATTCAAAAATTCAAGATGGTGTTTTTGATCCAACAAATGAAGTATAAATTTAATTGAATATTGAGTTATTAGAGTTTTCCTTGTTTTTCTTAAGGTTAATGGTATTAAAATTGGTCCACAAAATATTAATTCAGCACCTGGAACTAACCGACCCAATGGTAACTCAGCCGAAAAAGGTGGCTGCTGTTAAGATAAATTTTATGACAATAAATCAACTGCATTAGTTTCGATTTTCGTGCGCATCTGTGTATTCATGCATTGATGTTGTATCTTTTCTTTTTTCCGTTGTTGTTCGTCTCTTTTTATCAAGAAAAAAATCGCACTTATTTATACATATTATCTTCTTTTACTTAGATGGATAAAATGAATGTTTCTGTTTTTTTTTTGTGTAGTACACTTTTGAGTAGACCTATAAACAGTTGAAAATAAGAGACTTTCTTTTCTGATTTTATTGTATATAATATTTCTCAAATACACAGGACAGGTTATTATTTATTCATATATACGTATATACATATATACATATATATTTATTTATCCGTTATATAAACATGCACAGTGAACGTTAGCTTTCGACATACACACACAAATATATATATATATACTATATATAAATGATACTCAATTTCTGTTTTTTTTTTGTTGTTGTCTGAACCTTTGTGCGTGTGTGTTCAGGAAGAAGAAAGAACAAAAAAACTAATAATAAAAATGTGAGTCATTGTAGAAAACTTTTTCTTTCAGAGTGATTAAATACAAATGCTCATGTCGATGATAATTAATTAAAGAGTAGTAAGTTTTTTAAATTTTTTTGAGAGAATTTTTATCGTGAAAAAAAGAAAAATTATTTTCGTATTTATTTAGACGGAAAAAATCCTTTATATAAGGTAGGAATCTAGAGACTAAAAACAAATTTTTATTGATAGTTAGTTTTAGTCTAGGATAATTCAAAAATGATCTCGAAGATTGAATAATTTTTTGAAAGTTTATTGATTATGTATTACGAATCACGTATGTTTTCTACTGTTGATAATTGACAAGGATTTAATTCAATGTTCACTATTAAGAACATATGAAGTAAAAAGAAACGATTTTTTCGACCAAAAAATTAGAAATATTGACAAAATATCTCATGATTACATAATTAATAATAAACTCATAAAAAGAAAAAGCATATTTGTAACGATGCATTTAACAATAATTTCGAAAATAATTTATTACTTTTTAATAAATTATCTTTATTTTCTGTACATAAAATATGATCAAAAGAAAACTACTGTTGATAATCTTGATACATCACAAGATAGTCATAAGAACTTCTTGAGGCAATATATTACAGAATTTACTGAAGTATGTCTTCGCATTTTACAGTCATGCTTTGAAAAATAAATCTATTCGAGGCATGATTCACGAACAGTGACAAAACTTTCTCTAGTATTTGGAATTGATGAATCTCGAAATTTTCTATATTGAATTCTTTGGATTTATTGATACTTGAGTAATAGTGATCATGCATAGCTTTAATAAGAATAATACTTTAGAATTTTCAACTAATTCAAATTAGCGTATAATTATATATTAAGAATCCTATTGAATTGTTTATTGTTGATTCTCTATATTAGTATTTTTAGACAAAAAAACTGGTGAACACGGATAAGCATCGTTTGATAATATTTCGATATGTTAGATATTATTATAATATTTAAAAAACTTGAATACGAAGGAAAATACTTTTTTTAATATTAAACGACTTGATTTGAAACTTACCAGAAAACAAAACGATGCTTCATTTTTTTTTAAAAGTCGTTTTCTTTGTATATTCAATCATAGAATGTTAAGTATGTTTAGAAAAATGAATTATTAACAAGAAAAAATAGAATTTATCAATTAATAAAATGTTTTACTTCATTTCTAGATTAAAACAAAACTATGTCACATATTGACGAAGAATTTCAGAGAATTGAACGAGAACATGGTTGGACCACATTATTTCGTGTTTGTTTCTGTTTTTTTTAGTAATATTTATGAATTAACTTGGATACTTCTTTTAGAAACTTGCGAATTATCATGGCGTTCGAACATTAGAGAAAAAAAATGATATTGCACTCTCAAGTATCAATCGAGGATTGAATCGATTTCGTGATGTTTTACCTTGTAACAAAAAGTTTTTGTTTTTTTATTTAAAAATTTGATTTGACCAATGTGCATACTTTAGATGATGATACTCGTGTACGTTTACAACGAGGTTCAAATGATTATATCAACGCAAATTTTGTTCAAGTCCCATCGGCAAATCGAAATTATATTCTCACACAAGTAAAGCACTTAGGTTCGTCTTGATAATACTTATTTTCTTTTATACCGAAGGGTCCACTTCCAACAACATCAGAGCATTTTTGGCAAATGGTTTGGGAACAAAACAGTCGCGTCATTGTGATGTTAACTCGTTTAGTAGAAAAAGGATGTGTAAGTGATTTAGAGAACAGAAAAAGAAAATAATTCATTTGTTAGTAAAAAATGTAAATACATAGATACATCTATATTTACTATAACAATTAAGTATTTTTTATTTTAATTTCAATAATTATATACCATCATACTCCATATAAGTTACATTTATCTATTGGATACTTGTTCAGCCATAGATTTCATTGACACTTTCAAACTAATAGATTCTATACGATGATTGTATAATTTAAAAACGTTTCCAAATTTGTCTATAATTGGATTGGACAGTCTGTTAATACATAGTTTCAAATGAAAATGCCTTTTTTTCTGTATGCATTGTTCGTAATAGTTTGCACAGAAATGGTTCTTGTCCGGCTGAGAAAATTCTACCAACATTCCTAACGAGAAAACAATAAGAATGCCTCTTTTTTAGCTGTCGGCTAAAGCATTTTAAAATGTTTTGAATTTATTCATTGACTCAAATTTGCTTGTGATATCTCAAATAGAAAATCCATCTGCTACTAACTACCATTTAGAAGCAGTACTTGATCCATGCAGCAGAATCCAATCAGAAGAATTGAAAGTTCATAAGAGTCATTAACTTTTGACAAGTTCTAGCTATAAATATAACGTAATGTGAGACAATTATAAATTTATGAAGTAAACGAATTTTTAGTCAAAACATTTATTTTAATTAATAAAAATTGATTTGATATATCTCAAAATTTAAAATTATCTATTCATTTAAAACTTCGATATAACAGTAAAACAAATGGCTTTTTCATTCTTTGCTATATTTTTATTTAGAATAAATGTTGGCTTTATTATCCTGATTACGAAAATGAAAGTGAATTATATTTTGAGGAAGTTGATTTAAAAGTATCATTTGTATCTGAAAGACAGGAAGAATATTATACGCAACGAAAATTCGAATTAACGAATCTTTTAGTAAGTATCTATTTGAAAATTTTTCTTACCCGTTTGAAATACAAATCTTTTGTATCAGACAGGTGAAACTCGTCCGATAATTCATTGGTCAGATTTCGATTGGCCGGATCATGGTGCACCAAGTGCATCTGAGCCGTTCTTACAATTATTAAGTGATGTTCGTCATTGCGGTGCTTTTGATTCTCGTTTTGGCCCACCAGTTCTTCATTGTAGTGCTGGTAAAGTAATTCAAGAGCTTATTTTTCATGTAAGAAACCATGCGCCTTTCTTTGTCACTAGGTATCGGACGCTCGGGAACATTCGTTCTTGTTGACTCAATCTTAAAAATGGTGAAATAATAAAAACAAAATACGCTTGAATTTTCTCTAGTAATAATATCTGCTCTTCATTGTTTTTGGTTCTAGCTTGCTCATACAGATAATCCAGAGAATGTATCATTAATTGAAGTTCTTGAACATATACGAACACAACGTCATGGGCTTATTCAGACACCAGAACAATTAAGGTAAAATATTAAATAAATATAGAATTAAATCGGATTAATAATTTTAGATTTTCTTATATGGCAATTGTTGCTGGTTTAAAAGAGCTTGACGAACTTGAACAAAGTGAAAATTTATTTAATGAAAGTGATTTTGATACATCGAGCGGAAGTGATGATGAAAATGACTCAAAATTAAGTACAAGTCTTGAGAATATTAAGTATGAATTAAAAAAGCGTGCTGAAAAAACTGCAAATAATTCTCATTCGCTAGAAACAAAGTATGAATAAATATTGAAGTACTTTAAACGAATAATTTGTATTCGTCTTTAACTTTAGAAATGATGCAGAAACTTCTGTTCGTCTTCGCGAAGAACGTTTGAAACGCAATGAGGGTTTAAAGAAAAAAATTGATGAGATCAAATCAAAATTAGATGATAAATCATCATTATTAAATAATAATAATAATAATAATTCATCGATTTTATCACTTCTCATGACACGATATCGCCGCCATTTTTTTATTGGTTTATTAACATTGTTTACTGGATCAATTTTTTTGTATAAATTTGTCAGAACTAATGATCGAGCCCATTGAGTCTTTTCTTTTTTGTAAAACTTTTTTGTATTTCTCTTCAAGTCAAAAGCGCACACAATAAAATGAAACTTGGTAATAAATGCATAATTAGTTCAACTTAGAAAATACTTCTATATTTGTATTGCTAACGTAGAAAAACAACAGGATGATAAATAGGATGTGGGTGTGCATATAAATCCGACTTAACTTAACTTTAGTGATCGGACAAAGCCAGATATATTCAACGTCTTATGACTGTAAGTAATTATTATAGACATCGATAATAGTGTTAATTTTTCATGCATACATAAGACTTGATGAAGTCAAAGATCTATGGCAACTATCAAACTAAAAAACAAGTTTACCAATCGATTAAAATTAAAAGATTTTATCTATTATTTTCATACGATCAATATTCCATACTACGCAACTCATGATTACTTAAAATGTTTCGGTATTTTTCAATAACGTATTAATTTAAATAATTAACTATTTGTTTTCTCAAAAACAAAATCTTTTTTTCAAGATACAAGCCTAATCTTGAATTAAAAACCATTGATCTTGCTTTGAATACAAATCATGAGGATGATGCATACGTTGCATCATCAGTTTTGTTTCTCAAAAATCATTTTTTATTTTTATTTTTAACTGGTTACTCTTATTTGATTCTACTTCTTCACTTTTTTTGAAACTTGCATTGGCTACACCCGTAAAGGTATTAAACATAAGTTTCTGATACAAATTTAGTTCTTTTTCAATGAATAAGCCAAGTAACTAAAATTTTTCCCGATTAATCGAATATTTGAATACACCTTGATCCTAAACTTTATGAGAGATTCGTTTTAGATCAATTAGATAGATTTAAATATATGATTTAAAGTGAGACTGTTGCAAGCCTATTGAATAACACAAAAGGAGATTTACTGAAACTTTATTCATTTCAGGTGACCATGCATCCGAACTAATTTATCTCAAAGGAAATGAAGGGTTTAAATCAGAGAAGATATTTTACAAAATGTTACCACATTCCATAGGTTACACATGAAACATAATGCACCAACGAACTTGGTACTAAAACTTTTCAATGCAATTAGATATTTTCATGGAATCCTATAGACTTTGTATGCTTGAAGATCTTCATGAATTACTTCATTTTAATACGAATTGTAGATTTGCTCTTGTATATATATAAGAACGAAGTTCTATATATGTTTTTATTTCACGTTTTGAAATAACAACAAGAACAAATTACTAAAACAATTCCTAACAATAGAATTGTATACAATCACAGATAACAACTTATCTCACTGTATTTTATATATCTTCGATATATAAAAGCGCAAGGATTTTCTATTACGCAATAAAAATAGTCAGGTCATTGTTCGTCTTGTGATTGACCATGACAGAACACAACAAAAAGAATAAGGACAAAACAATGTCCAATCATATAAAGAACGAATGTAGCAAGAAAGAAGAAAGAAAGGAAGAATGTAGCGAGAAAGAAGCAAGAAAGAAAGAAAGAAAGAACAAGAAGAAAATAACATGCTACAAGAAAGGAAACATCACCAACACGAATAGTATTTTTTTTTCATCAAATCTTTATAGTTAACTCATACAACAATTCTTTATATTAACTATTTTAAAGTTCTGAAAATCAAAGTTCCCAGGTCGAACAGTACGGTTCGTATACAACCGTTTACGGCTACTTTGCGACTATTTTTCGGGCAAAAGTTTGCCCTAATATCTGGCGCAGTAATACGGACCGTATGATCATGAGAGTACGGAGCACAAACAGCCGTAAACCATGAAAATTCAGTCCCGTTCACGATGCCGTATTACTGTGCCAGGTATTACGGGCAAAAACGGTCTATTTACTGCCGTAAATACACCGTTTTGACATCGTTTACCGTCGATAAACAGACTGTAAACGAGTCCGTTTTGATCAACCTGGGTTGTTCATCAATTGAGCATTTTGCAGAAGTACTGGAATAATTCGGTTCTAGTCTATAGTCGGATTAAACGTACTATAGTTGCGTTACACAATTCATAAAAGAGTATTGTGTGGCATCTATTGTATCATTTTGATGAACGGTGGAAAATACTATCTTTGGAGATCAAAATGAATATATAAGTCTCGATTTGATTCGATACTTATTTCTCTTCGCAATTTTGTAGTTTTATATTTTCCTGATTAAATTTTTTGCAGTTTTTACATGAAAGAGCATAATATTAAGCTTGCTTTTTCGTAAAAAGTTTTCTTGTTACAAACGAGAATATTCCTGATTTTTTTAATTTTCTTTCTTTTTACTTTTTCACTAATATAAACATGGAAAGAGTATCCTTGCAATTCTGAATTAACTATAAAATTCATCGTTCTAGTGTTCAATAAATTCAAGCTATTTAAACACTTTAGAACACATTTGTGTATACTTAATGCTATATACATGCAATGCTTGAGGTCTATAGCTTTTAATGGAGATGAGAGTTAGTAAAAAACTTAGCATGCACTACTATTTCAACTTTTTAATATCGAGAATTTGACATGACAATCATAGAGATATGATTTTCAGAGTTTCCTTAATGAATGCCTATTAGAACAGAAAATATTTTCTTAAACAATACAGCCAAAACGGCTAACGGTCAACCAACATGGTTGAAGTAGAAGTTATTTTGTTTTCAAAACAAACTATACCACCTTGCAAAACATACTTTTCTGCATAAGCAACTCTATTTTGATTGGTTCGACAGCATAAGTAAGGCTGGAAAATATGACCGAAACTGATTACTGGTCACCAGGATCTTGGGTTGATTTGGAAGGGCTTCTCAAAATGTAAATGAGAGACACGGAAAGAAAGGAGTAAATATGAAGTGTCACGTAGCATTTTGTAGAAAAATGTTAGGACTTTCTTTATGGCTACGTCGAATTTTTCCAGATCAATGTTGTGCTTAGAAAAAATGAACTAAAAACCTTCATATTTTTCATGTCTGTGCGTTACCAAAAAGGGCTCTTTGCTTATCGGATCATGAGATTAAAACAGTTTTCTTAATTTTGATCAATGGCCTATCGTCAACTTTTTACGGGCTATCCGATGAGCCAATTGATTTCTGTTCATCTCTTTTCTTTGACTCTGAAAATTGGGTAACACAGACATTTTTCCTGTTGTCACTCATCATAATCAATATGCACCTCATAAAACTTCATATTCTACTATGAATTTTTTCGAATGAATACATAGGTAATTTGGTGTGCACTACACAATAGTGTCCTCAGAATTATTTGGATGGACAATCTTTGATTGGTCTTTTTTGGGTCTGATATTCAAATTTCCAACCCAAACGTGAGTTTCAAGCAAAATAAACTTTTGAATCATGATCAGCGTATCCGATTACCCACGATCAACTATTTTTAATAAATAAATAGTTTGATTGATATAAAATTCGCTCGGAACAGACATTTTTCTAAAAGAATGTGTCTGTGCGTTACCGAAACGTCCGTGTGTTGCTTCCAATTTTTTCTCTAATAGCTCACTAATTTTCCATGATATTCATATTTTCTCTTCAGTCAAACCTACTCCTGAATCTAAGCTACAAAACCCTTGTTTGCAAAACTCATTAGCGTGAAGCAATTCGCAACATTTATCAGTAATTACACATCTACTAGAAACCGAGGGCTTTTTCGTCTGTGCGTTTTAGGCTAGTATTTTACTCATAAAATCTGAACAGTTATACGGTTAAGGCTCAAACTTTGAACTACTACAGAACTTGATTACTTAAGTATTTGTTGAAAATAACAACTATTTTGCTCTAACCATTCTCTAGATACACTTGTTCAAAGTTGAAAAAACATCTGTGTGTTACATACGTTTCGGCTGGAACATATTTTTATTCTCGGTCATGTTTGTAACAGGTAAAAGTAAAAGTCTACAGTAGCCCAGAATAATTTAATCAAGAGACAATGTGTTGTAATTAGGGATGCATCAGTACCAGCATTACTGACTGTATAGGTACCAGTATTTCTAGTTTGCCAGAGTAATCAGTGTCAACACGCACCAGTATTGGAGATGTTAGTTAGTGGAACTCTCGATACTGGTGTGTGTTGACACCGATGATCCTGGCAAACTAGAAATACTGGTACCCATACAACCAATAATACTGGTACTAATGCATCCCTAATTGTAATGTCTCTTCTAATGGCAAAAAATATTTCATTTGTTCATATCACACTTAAAAATTGCATCTAATATTAAGAATAAAAGTTGTAGCAACGCATCTTCATTAGTCTAAGCATCAACCTGTTTTACAATTACAAATGCTTTAAAATTTAAACTTTGAAGAACATTTAAGAGCAATCAGGTAAATGATGCATTACAATCATTGCTATCGCGTACATCAACCACAATCAAATATATTGAAATGAGCTTGATAAAAACTAATCGATTGCTAAAGTGATCATCATATACTAGAGCATGAATAACTTGATTTGTATTCTTAAAATGATAATGAATATTATGAAGAATATCGAGCAACTGATACACGACAATCTGGTTAATGGCTCTCATCTATTTTAAAAGCTATAGAGTTCAAACACTGCAGTTATGTAGCATTAAGTATACACAATTGAGATTGTTTGCTTCAAAGTAAACCTTCTCTCACACTGTTATTCGGTGTCTTCTTAGATAATTCTGTTCTGTCAATGACGTACTAGTATAGACCTGTGAGACAGACTTTGTCGTGTCCCGAATCCCGTCCTGAATTTTTTCGAATTGTCCCGTAAAATCCCGTTGACAAAAAATGCTTAAATGTTGCGTAGTTACGTCAAAGAAAACAAAAGACCTTTTCTATCTGATCAATAGAATAAAAGAAGAGTGAAAATTTGTCAAACAAAATTGGTCGAGAAATTTATAGATAAAAATATATTTGTTTTTATCAAAAATAGGAACTGGTACTTTGAACCCTGCTCGAAGTAAAGCGAAGATATTTGAGAAAAATAGTACTCTCCTGTTTCCATAGTATATTAACTTTTTATATAACCGACGAAGAATATTTTAATCTAATCATTATTAGATCAGTCAAACCGAGCTTTTTGCGATAGATGCTATTTAAAATGTATTAGCTTATTTGAGGTAATGTATGTCTATAATAACTTCGATATATCTGGCACACGTGTGCTCTCTCTTATATCAACAATTAGTCTATCATTGTGTGAAAATTCACTTTTTTGTCATTATTTAGCTCATTACTATCAACTACAAGTTCTATTTACAAAGTTCTTTTTTAAAATAAAATTTGACTAATTTTCGTATGAAACAATTAACGTTGATCAATTTTCGTATCGATAAATTTTTATACACTCGGAAAAGCACATACACATTTATGTACAGATAAAATTAATAATTTGTTATTTATTAAGAGAAATATGCGAGATTTAAATGAAACTTATTCTTTAGTTGTTAAAGTGTGTACAGAAAGAAAACTCAACCGACTCAACACCTTCTGTAACATCAGAAACAAATTTAATTGACGACAGAAAGTCAATAATTATATGAAGCAACAGCTGAAAACAATAATGATGAAGAACAGTTTTCAGTACATCTTCTAATATTTCTTTTTTTCGGCTTTCCATTTAAACATTAAGAGGTTTATTATAAATAAAAAGTGTAAAGTACATCACACGTTTTTATGTAATTTTAAAAATTCGCGACACTGGAGTTTTTCGAATTGTCCCGATTCCGTTTGTACCGTCACGAAAACATTTTCGGGACAAAACGGGAATCGGGGCTGTCCCGCAGGACTCTACGTACTAGATCTCCTCGCATTGAATCGTACGCTATTCTACGAAAAAGTACATATTTTCAACAGCACGCTTTCCGCTGATCGTTCAAGAAGTATACATTTATCATAAATACTGCTTCTAACACACATATCATATGGAAAACAAGTTTATTTCAAACATTGATATTGATCAGTCATGTTTCTCATAGTTCTTCTATATTCATGCAAATATAGCTTCGTTTCAATTTCTTCTCTTATGATCAAACACGTTCAAATAATGTAATCACAATATTAGTTTCACAGTTTTCATACTTGCGTAAAACTGCAAATAGGAAGCTTCATACATTAAAAATTATTCACTTCATGTACATATGTATCTTACTATTATACAATATAGTACAAAGTTTGTTGAGGTTCGTTTTAGATTTGTTAGGAAATATTATTTCTGCAGATTCAGATTCCCAGGTCGACTAATCCGACGACGGATTCTATCGGATCCTAAAACATCCTACTGACCGAGGAAATCCAGTTGGATTCTGGGTTTCGGAACTATTGACGGATCCGACAGAAGAATTTTAAAAAATATCAAAATTCTATTTAGCGCAAAAGAGCTTTTAGAAGTTGAGTGTAGCAGACTTTTTTGGTGCATCGGATCCCATCGTAGGATACGATTGTATAGTATCGGATTCCGATCCTACGGATCCGAAACTCGGAATCCGACAAAATCTGTTGGTTCTTGTCGGTTTTCATGTAAGATCCGATGCAACCCATTTTCAGATCCGATTGTAGGAATGAACGACCTGGATAGTTCTAAAACATTTCGTTCCGCCAGATTTTATACTACATCTTGTCGCATATTATTATTGTAATTGTGTAATCACTATATGTTTAACAATGCTTAAGTATAAGCATGCTACGATGATGATCTAGTATAAAATCAATGAAAATGAACAGCAACCTACGTAAGTTAGTATAACTTGAAATAAAAATTAAATAAGAAATATATTACTAGAAAATCCCACAATTATCTTGATATCGTATGGTTCAATACCTATTAGTTTAATTTAAATATATATATTTATATAGCTATACGTATCTATTTTTCATACGGTTCATTTTTTTTAGTCACTCATTCAATGACAAGATGTCACATTTGGAAAAAAATCTTGACATACACACATGCGCACAAATATTGAATGAAACAAACAAAAGTTTTGTACCACAGCAATGGATACGACAACAAGCCACACAAAAGAAAGAAGAATTAAGTATTTTAGTGATATGAATACACGCTCAATGATAATGACATCGTGATAAATATAGAATTTAGCACCATAAATTGTCTTCGGTTCAGGGTTTAGGTAGGAAAAATAAAGAACTGTAACGCTGGGATAGATAAATAATATGTATTATTGCATCAAACCAACACCGGGATATTATTAACCAACAAGATAAATCACCGTTTAGGGCCACAATAGATTTCTAAAGAAATATATATATATATACTCATTAGAACAAATATTTTTTCTTTTCAAATTTAAAACCTACGATCGTTTTCAGATACCGTTGGAGATATTTCAAGTGTTGAAAAAAAAAGATAATCATCAACAGCTGTTGACTTTGAATGTGTAACAACTTGAAGTATTCCACATTCATCAAATTTGATATCTTCATCATTTTCTGATATCATTTCAAAGATATCGATTGGCGTTTTTATCTTTTGTTTACAAGATGTATCTAAAAGAAAATTCAATATCTATATTTTCTAACAATCTTGATTATTTTTATCATTTCTTACCAACACCGGATGCTGTTTTTGTTAAAGTAAATATTCTTTGATTATCATAGCATCCAGCTATTTCATTTAAATTCAGTGGTATTAATGAATTATTCTAAATACAATTAAATTAAATACGTAGAAGAATAAGTAGGATTTTATTTTTTTTACATACACAATAAAAAACAAATTGTTCAATGGAATAATTTAATTTTTCAACAATAGGTTGTAAAATTTGTAAAAGTGTTCGTTTTGGATTACAACGTACGCATAAAGTTTTTGTTGGAAAATCAATACGAATTAATACACGAATTTCAACATGAATTTCTTGTCCATTGTATGTTGATAAAGACTCTTGAATATCTATTGGTTGCTAAATATAAATCAAGTAAACCTTTATAAATTTTGTTTTCATAAATTTTGTACGCATGAATGTGTCAATAGAATTATAACCAATAATGCAAAATAGTAGAAAACAACCGCTGGCATATCTGACAACACTATTTTGAAACAAGAAACGACTAGTATGTTAAAATGAACTCAATATGGAAATTAGAGATATGAATCAAGTTGGAAAGAAGGACCCGTCGTATTCATATATCTAATACGAATATGCTGTGCTCATTGAAAACCAATCTAGATTAAATTGTTTGACAAAATAAAAAGAACGTCGAAACATTACTGAAGTGTGCGTAATATAAACACAATAGAAAACAAGGTAACGCGAGGTTAGCATCGCCAACCCTCTACTGAAAGGATTTAATCATGGAGAACGTAACTATCCAAAACTATCTAGCTAACAGGCTTCACATTTTATAACTTCGAAATGATTTTTATGGAAAAACCGATTGATAACAGAGCATAAATAGAATACTTGCTTTGAAGTATCATCAAGAAAACGGCACTTAACTACTACTTACTAATACTACATGCCAACATTGAATTTAAGTGCATCCGATCTGCTACAACTCAAGCTATGCTACGAAAGCTTCCGATCAGTTTGATAACGGAGTGAAGAAAAAAGACCCATTCAAGAGCTATGATTGAAATACTTCATTTTTAGTAAAGTAGCAACTAGGGGTGGGTCATTTGACTTAACTTAAAATTAAGTTAAGTTTTGTCCCTTAACACTTAATATTAAGTATTAAGTTCTTTCTTTAATACTTAATACTTAATATTAAGTGGTTAAGTGCTTATGAGGAAACTTAATCTCTTAATATTAAGTGTTAAGTAAAATGGCTTAATTAAGTGACTTAATCAAGTCGAATTAAATAAAATGACCCACCCCTAGTAGCAACCCAAATTGGTCTATGGGCTAGATATTTAACATGAATCTGCATGAGTAAATCAGAGATCAAATCAAACTGACTTTTTCTAACTCGATTTCGGTTATCTTTGTACTCATTTTTGCTCAAACTCATGTGGGTTCACTTTATTTCCGTGCGTTTTCGGTCTCTAATGCATATATGCATTTCCGGGTACAGACTCGAAGATACAAAAATTGAACACTTACATGTTTCGAAAAAAGCCCACTCGCAATCAGGAAAAACTAAACTTATTAAGATATTCGCGACAAATATATATTTCAAATATTTCACACGAGTTGAGCAATTATTTCACGACCTGTCTTTGGAAGAACTTCAAGATATCTACTATTTTTGAAAATTATTTCAACTCTTCTGATCGAGACAACGTCTAACTATTCTATAAGTCTGCAAAGCTTGTAGTCTTATAATCACAATAGATTTTTCGCTGAGCGGTAAGTCGTTCGTTGGCGCTCCTCTGGTGCGTCACTCACGACTAGCCACCTTCACTAGTTCGATTTCATATATGCGGTGAACGCGATCCTTTTAAACACTGCATGATTGATTGAAAGCTTTGCTTCATTTTATAATTATTAGATGAAAACAAAGAGAATTGCCAAGAAACCCGAAAACACCAATGGTGAGACGAATTTAATTCAGTTTCATCTACATATGTGATAAGTTCCTCACAACTTAGAGAAGAATAAGACAAGATTCCCGAGTACTTACACAGTTTGCGTACGTTCGTAGATGCGCTAATCTAGAACTCTAGGGATTAATGTTTGAATAAATTCTTCGTGCTATCATAAAAGTTGACATATCAAGAATAAATTGAAGACTTCGAAAAAAGCTTTCAACGCCTTAGCGCAGATGAGCGACTAGTCGTTCGTTGGCGCCCCTCTGGAGCGCCACTCACGGCTAGTCGTTGTCAAATTGAAAATCAATTCCACCGCAAGATGCCTATATCCTATTCCTAATAAGATCTCATATAAACAAGCGATTCATCTACCGCTATAAACATCATCGAATGGTACCCTTAAAAAATTTCCTTACAAAGAATTCCTCTGACGAAAATACGACGATCTAAACAGCTCGTAATCTACTATAAACTTGCTTGAACTATGAAATGATCGTTAAGTATTTAATATTCAATCTGGAGACAGCCTTTATCTTATTGGAATCAACTTTATTTATTTGTTTAGGATCATAACGACTAATAATGTCGTTGTGCTACTCCTAAATGCTTTCGAAATACCCGGCACTCGTCAGTTGCTAGTCACCTAGTTTTACTTTTTCAAAAACTAATGTGTTCATTCTCTGCAATAAACCTCTTTGTAACCCTCTATGTTTATTGAAATGATGAAAAAATGTTTTTGAAAAATCACACCTGAAATCTAATAAATCCGCCCCAAAAACTTTTAGTCAAACCCTATACAAAATTTTCCTAAAAAAGTCACTCTCTCTCCCTAAAAAAAGTAAAAAGCGAAATTTCCAAACCTGACACCGAATTCGAGTTCCCCGACCCGAAAATCTCTGGTCAAACCTATCCATAAAGCTATTGTTTCAGGTTAGTGAAGTTTATGCATCTGCTTTCCTATTGGACGAACGAAAGAAGCATACAAACGAACGGCACTAGCTCACTTTTCGTATAATCCTCCTTTCAGTAGTGGGAATAGTTGACTTCTAAAGAAAACTCAACTCAGTCGGGTGTCAAAAAATCTTTTCTATTCAATATTTTCTGTAGAGAATTGCTAGCAAATCACTCAATCAAGTCAATATTAATGAGAATCAATTTATTTATTTATAGGATACTAATCCTGTAGAATTGAAGAAAAAGGGCTTTTTTTGTAAAACGAACGTTTTATTTTGATCGTTTCTGTTAAAATATTCTATTATAATACTTTAATTAAATCTTAAAACTATTGTCATTCGAATCATTTTCATTGTCGGATGTATCTTTCCTTCTAAATGAAAAATGCCATTTCAAGATAGTTCAAAACGCAAGTAATCAAAACAACATCAATTGTAAAACTAGATGAGTTGTGAAGAAATGATTGTTCTTTATTTCAAGAAATCATTTGTATAGTTTTAACAATAATAAGCATGAAAACTGAATTTGTATTATATTGAATAAGTTTCAAAAAATAAGTGCCTATCTATAATCATTTACTGTTTCGAAACAGTATTTCTTCTTCTGCTCTAAAGATACATTGCAGCGCTTGTCAGTATTCCAGCGAAAATATTATTTGCAAAGGACGCCCCCTCGGGATTTACCAGGACACGGCGATGTATGGTTCTGAATCATACATGCCTCATAGTTTATTCTCTATGGTAACTACATTAATAATGGTTCTATACTGACATTCATGATTACTTCAGTTTGAGGTAAATTTATAGGAGAGATGTAATCATGTTCAAATGTGCGATTAGAAAATTTATTAATGTAGATAGAGAACAGACAGATTAAATCATTGAAATTGTCACTTTCTTTTCATCAAAAGATCTCTCCGGAAAAACCGTAGTAGACTAGTTCGTATGATTAAAAAATAAATAAATTTTGAAATCATTTTGTAACTGTCGCACAATTGGATAAATTTCTTTTTTAATAATATATATTTCTTGTCAATATTTAGCAATAATAAATGTCAGAAACAATCTGATAAAGCTAATTATATGTTGCATTTAATTAATACTATGCAAAATGAAAACGAAAGAAAATTTACTTCTAAGGAAATGATGCGCACAACAGGGTAAAAAAACAAGGACTGAGACCAAAAACAGTAAATCCTGTTCATTCAAACGGAATGTTTGATATGCTTTGTGTCTCGAAAGAAAAGCATTAGATTGTATTCACATAATTAATAACACCAATTTATTTATATTATCAAACTATATTAATAAATAGTATTTACCTGGTCAACAGAATATAATTCAGTTCGATACCATGTAAGCCCACGTTTAGCAAACAAACGACTAATCGCTTTTTGAATGGGATTAGTAGAATTATATGCCAAAATAACTGCTGATGTGGAATCCGGAAATATGAAACGACAAAAGCGAGATGAATCTGTCGATGATATTAGAGGATTTTCCTATGACAAAAAAAAATGAAATTCTCATCTGTCCTTTTTTCAATGATTAAACATCAATCAATAAACTAACAGTTATTAATTTTTTTTCTATACAATCTTGATGTGTATCGACACGTGAAGCAACATTAAACAATGATGAATCTTGTTGATTAATATTAGAAGAATATTTATTGATTTTATGTACATTTCCGACTGTTGTCAATGGGGATGATGTTGGACTGTGAAGGTAAATTGGTGATAGTGATGATAATACAGCTGATATCTTATATGTATTTGATAATGGTGTTAATTCTGCCGATGTGGATTTACTTGTTAATAGTGAACTATAATTTTCATATGATACTGTGTTTGTACTAGCATTTATACTTTGATGATGATGAAAATTAGACGATGATGATGAGGGTGTATCACGTTTCACTAAATTTAAATATTCGAAAAATAGGAAATTTGTTTTGAATTAAAAAAGAAAAAGAATTCGATAAATTTTCTTTTTTATTTCTATTTTAGAAAATATTTACTATCTACCTGATTAAAGTACAAAAATTAATCAAATACACTAATCGTCACTGGAATCTTCGTTGAGCGCGTTACTCGCCGAGGTTGACACTGCAACGAAGAGAGGCATCTATATCGGCAGAACTTTATTTTAACTAGATTATATATATATATATATATGGGTATATGTGTGATTGAGAATTAAAGAAAAACAAGGTTCTACATTATGGGTGCAAGAATATCAATCAATATTAATTTTCACTTTCGTCATATACATATATAGCACAACAATGAAATTAATATTTATCAACGAAGAATATATGATGTGCAATGAAATATTTATGGTGCATTAACGACAGTACTGAACAGTGGCATGCTCTTTTATTGTATGTATTGCAAATGCATAATTCATATGAATATATGTTTTAACGGCAGATTAGATCAAACCAATCAGTTATTGGTGCCATTTTCGTATTTTAATTCACATGCAGAGCATCAGCAACTAACATGAAGCTATCAACACATGAAATAACTTTTAGTAGCAGCAATAGCAATAGCAACGGTACGTGTTAATGTGTATGATTACTAATATTTTCTCTATCTATTCGTTACTCGACATCTTTCGAGTTTTCACGAGTAGATGAAGAAAACAGAAAATACATTTATTTTTTGGGTTGACAAGGTTATTAACTAGACAAGCTCGTTTTCTATGTATGTATATATATATATATATATAGATGCAAAAACATCAAAAATAAAAAGACTTGCTTGTCTCTGGCGCAGCTAAATAAAACAAAATAATGTATACAACAACTGATTACATAAGCAAACACAATAGCTAACCTGATAGGCGTTTCCATTTAATTAATGCTAGATACAAAAATAAAACAAAAAAGTCAAATATTACATAGAAACATTTATGGTACCTTTCGTCCAAGGTAAAAGTGGACTGCGTTTTTTATCCTTTTTATCTTCTTCCTTCAATTTAGCCTATGAATGATGAAAAAATTAATAAAAAAGAAACATTCTCAATCATTTTTTGTTTGCGTTGTGTGTTATGCTTTTCATACAAGAGAATCAATTATTTTTGGACGTTCTTCATTATTGACTGATGATTGCTGCGATTTGGCTGTATATGGTATTGATTTTCCTTCCATTTCACTCATAATACACTCTTTATACATATTTGATTTTAGAAATCTCGTATATGAATCAAGTTTCATTAATTGAAATATCTGAGATTGAGCCTTTTCAAATATATTAGCATGCGGTTTATTTAATAACGACTGTTGACATTCATGTCGTGTTCGACTATCAATATTAATTCGACATGAACCATCATCTGTATCCTGTAAGTATGTTGACCAAATAGAACTAGCTTTTTGGCGAATCTAAAAAGCATTATTATCTATTCATATCGTAAATAAAAAAATTTATCATAACAAACTTCGTCTGGATCTGACAATTTTTTCAATTTTTCACATTCAATCCAAAATTGAATATTTTCTTGACTAAATTCTTTTTTTAGAAATTCGGTAAATACATGTAAGCCCATTTCATCATTGAGCAATTTTTCAAAACCAACAGCCCATAAAGCAACACGCCCAATATCTAATAATTTGTTTGATTCTTCGTTATCATCATCTTCACATTGTTTATGAACGCTTGTTAAAGAATTTGATATAGATAAACGTGTTGCTGATAAATCTGCTGTTTCCTCATCGGTAACTGCCAATGACTAAAATATAAATTTTTAGAAACAAAAAATCTCATGTTCATCTTCTTATTTTATATACCTTAGTCTTAACAAATTTTTGTCTTATATGACTCAACGTTATCTCTGATGACATGATCACTAATTCATATCATCAGATAAGAATGTCTTGTATGAGAAAAGAAAAAACTTGGAATATTAAATATGACAATAGAAGGACAAATGTGTAGGGTTTTCTTTTGTTTTAACGTTGCAGTGTTTTTTTAATGGTTTCTCTCTCTTTCGATTTTCATTGATTTTTGACTTGACGACATTTTCCCGAAAATGTAACTTGCAGCAGTGATAAATATTATTCTTATTAAGAATTAATAGTCGTTGTGCCTTTTCTGTCATAGGAGTGTAAAAAAATGCATCAATGTAAAAGAAAACAGAGCGAGAGGATAACGGCTGTCTAAGTATGTCACTCCTAGTTCTTCCCTCTGTTTGACATGTCCATACATCGAAATAGATAAATATAGCTCTCAAGATTTCACCTCGCTTACCCGTTCGATCTGTTCTAAAAACGAGGGAAAACAGACACAAAAAAAGAAATAGTATAAACTAAAAAATGATAACAACAAAAAAGTATCATTACTTTGTTTCTTTACTTTCTTTTTAATAATATCAAGCAAAGTGTGACTTGTTCTCATTCAAATTGATTGACTATTTTTCTTTTTCTTGATGCTTATCTTGTTAACAACTACTTATTATTAAGCGTTACAAGTTGATTCCATCATCATTATTACTTTTCCAAAATAGTTTATTTGTTTTTTCTCGCTAATTTCCAATCATAAGCTCGATATTTCAACAACAAAATAATCTGTTTGGCATAAATCTAATAACTTGTGCATAAGGGAAAAACAATTTACAAGATATATCACACTAGTTATTTTTTGACAAGAAGAATATTTCAGAGAAAAAAAGTGGTCATTGACGTATTATATCAGTTTCTTATTTCAATGTAAAACGATTTACTTAATAATTAAAAGATTCATTGATTATATATTCATTTTTGAGATTTTCGAGAGAGAGAGACAAAAGAGAAAAAGAAAATTTAAAATATCAGTTTACGTGTAACATACCAATGCATTTGGAAGTTTATATTCATTAACACTCGACTGACGACGAAAGTCATTAAGAAAATTTCGTATGTAGAGACGATGATTCGCACTTATATTACTATTGCGCATAATGTTTTTCCGAATATGAAATAAATATGTTTAAAACAAAATATTCTTCAATGGTTGTTGTATTTTCGTTGTTGTAGTAATGTTACTATTGATTGATTGTTGTATGTGAGTGTAAAAGAGAAAGAAAAAGAAGAAAGAAAGTAATTCCATATTCGATTCTTTACTATGCTTTTGACTAACAAAGTTTCTTGTTCTTATAATCTTTAAAAGCTCAGTAGCATGAAATCCCAAGACAATGGCCCTTTCCTTCTCTCTTCTTCTTCTTCTCCTTCTCCGATTCCATTGCCTTTTGTTAGTCCTATGACAGAAATATTTTTTCATCGCGTCGATGCACACAAATCTCGCTTCCTCAATAGTCCATACAAATGGGTTCAATGCTCGAAAGGACGTATGAAATCAAAGATTGGCAATAGTGAATGAGCAGGAAAACAGCAAAGCAACAGGAAAAAGTCGCAACACTAACACAACAGTTGACTCGTTCTTCCAATTGATCACTGCTATTAGATACACTATGAGACAAGGTTTCTTTCCTTCTTCTTCTTCTTTTGATCAGAAAAATAAAAAAATTGCTTGACTATTCGAATATAACCAAGTATTTAATACAGAAAAGTCAGTATATCAACCATAATTTTAAATGAAGAGAAAAAAATAAATTGCGTGCAATGTGCCGGAAAAGATCAATATAGAATGATTTGATGCTTAGTAGTATATGGATTTCGAACTGGTATAGATGAAAACAATAACACACTCCCTCGATTATTGACAAGTTATTGAGCCCTAGAAAAGGCTATAAAATCTTATTGAATGACTATTGTTAATCTTTAATGAACTATTACTCTTTTGCATACAAAAATAAATAAATAAAAAAAGAATAGTTCGATCACATCAACAATTCTTTGACATAAATTTATAAGTAATCTTAAACTTCGTTATTCTTTCTGCACATCTTAATTATTAATGAATTAAATACACATCATACTAAAAATTAGAATTATAAAAAAATGGAATACCTGTGTTCTTTGCGTTCGTTGTAGTCCAATGAAATTCGAGATATAGAGTTGATTACTACTATCATAGAATTGTACATTCTTTTTCTTTCGAGTTAACATTCTTATAATAGACAATAGAGACTAACGTATCGTCGTATGGCAAGTAAGAAGAACTAATGATAGTTTTGCATTTCTTTTTGTTTCGCTATATCATTCAAATGAGAGAAAATCTTGTCAAGAGCATCTAATAGAATCACAAAATGTCTCTCATTTATTATTATTCAAGTGTGAAACAATACTGACGACGAAGAAGAAAATGATCAAAATCATTTATTCCATATAAAACAGTAGACAAGATAAAAAAAAGTTAAAAGTTAATCAAGCAAAATATTTTATCATGATGAACATCAGCTCGGAAATTTTTATAAACAACCTCTTCTCCAGCATACTTTTATCAGTAGTGTACGATCATTGATCGTATTGAAGACCATGAAAAGAAGAAGTTCTTGTAGATATATCAGTAGGAAAATCTTTTTCTCTTTGTTAGAGATATAAAAAAAAGATATATTATACTTGATGGAAATCATCTTACTACAAAAATAAAATGAAAAATATTGTATATTCTAACCTGAGTCTTATGGCTAAGTAGTGGTGAATAACAAGAGATATGATGATTCGTTCGACAACATTCAATCATAAGTTCATCCAATGTTTTCATTGTTGTTAGTGACGAATTTGACAAGAAATTTCGAATCGATTAATAATAGAAAATTCTCTCGAATGATTTTGTTTTGTGTTTAAAAGTCAGTACTCATGCAATGTAACTTGTGCATGTTTATACGCGCATATTTTATAATCATATTGTGTTCATTGTTGATGTCGAATGACGACAAACATCGACAAATATAGTTGGAAATGTCGTGTGCAATAGAGATGTAAAAATCAGCGAAGGTCTCATTAATTCTAATTCTATTACAAAAGAAAAGGGAAGACTACACAACAAAACTAGACAGTCAAATCACCACATTTCATTCCGTCTATAAGGAGTATAGGAAAATTCTATTTTTTCTCTGGTTGATATGAAGCTGAATGGCGACGCCTACCGTGCAAACTATATATATTACTGAAGTCTCATCTCATTATTAAACACTATTTGATTTTCGTGCGCATTCATTCAAATAGAATTAGATGCGGAATGACGAACAAATAATGCATTCGAAAGCGTGATATTAACTGCATAGTGCCATGACGATAAAAACAAACAATTAGTACTGTTTCCGACAAATGAATCAAGAAAATAATATTGTTTTTCATTTTGCTCTATTATCATCTTGTCAAAGATATATACATAAATATTGTTAGAAAATAAAAGTCAACCAATCAATATAAAATAAAATCCAACAATCACGTTAATCTCTTTCAAGAACCAGCTTCATAAATGCATTATTTGTAACTTCAATATTATCTCATAAGTAACTTATGGAATTTTCTCATTAACCATTCCATTCTAATACTTCATAGACTGCATAAATAACCTTTACATCACGAAGCAAAATTTATCAAGTAATCTTCTATCAACATAATATGACAGTTTTTTTCTTCTAAAAAACCGATTATCATTGCAGTTCGATGGGCTTCAGATATTTTTTTTAAAGCTAGGCTTTAATAAACACGCAATGTCATAAGTAAGAAAATCTTTTTCATCGATGATTATTCCATTAGACTCATTAGTTTCTTGTTACTGAAAATTGTTTTTTTCTCTTTTGGCACAAAAAAAAATAACAAATTATTTGGTTTCATTCGTAGAACTTGCTAAGGAAAAAAAGAAAGAACAAAATTTAGTATAGCAATTTCAATGACCTTTTCGCCTATTCATGTGTCATCTAGATGGATGGAAGTAATAAGAAACCAAATTAGTATGATGATAAATTGTATATGCATTGCCTTCGAGGTTTTATTTCATAGATTCTACTAAATAAATAATTTCTTTTCATGAACGGTAAAGTTATAGCTACTTATTATATACAATTTCTATATATTTTTCTTCGAGTAAAACAAAATAAACTACTTATTTATGATCGTAGCATTCAAATATTAAAAAAAACATATCTATAAGAATTGCAATAAGATTAATTATTTTCTTTTAATCATAATAATAAATACGACATATTGAATTACTTATGTTCACACATATTCACGAGCATCCTATGAGACACATCGCTAATGTCTACTCTATTTCAAACGATACGGACGTAGGAAGGGTGACGATATGACGAATTTGGATTGACATCTTAAGATAATAATAACGATCATTTACATGCACTCATCTCTTTCTCTCAAGGCGTTTAAAGCAATCCATCATCAATGTTAGTTAACTGTTACTGATGGGCTCGACTTGATCTTTCTATGTATTTGTAGTCGTTATTTAGGATAATTTCCAAGTGTTTTGCCTTGTTAAAGAAAGGCTTTTAGTTGCATTGGTCTCAACACATTCAACATCTGTCGTCACTCAAAAAGAAAAAGAAAAAAAAACAATTCTACATATATTTCAATGGATAAAATAAGAGTGGAAAGAGTATAATAATAAAATGGCATTGATAGATACCTTGTTTTTCTTTTTCATAAATCAGAATTCATAAAAATATTCAATTAACGTCACGATAAAATAAATTCTATACCTAACAGTTTTGACATAAGATAAATTCATCTATAAAATAAAATCTTTTCCTCTTATAATTTCATCATCATCACCATCATCTATTCGGTAAAACATGTGTCTAAGATATATTATCTTTCTCTAGCTTTTTTCCTTAATATTCTTTGTATGTCGATATCCAACGGATTTACTAATTAGATTTTGTCACATACCAGTGTTGAAGTAGTAAAACTCGATTTACGTAATTGAGAATTTCGGCGTTGATAATAATTGATGATCGATGTTCGACGCTGATGTATAGCAACACCAGTACTAGTCGTATTAGCTGTATTGGTTATTGACAAACGACGAGGATCAGCATCAAATAAATGATGATTAGCTGTTATCGAAGGAATCAGTAACGAGTTAGACGTGTTATTCGAATGAATTGAAGACATAATGGATAAAGAAGAATAAGTGACCAAATAAAAAAGAACGATGAAAACAAGTGTAAAATGAATGAATCAAAGAAAAAGTTAAGAATTAAACATGTATATATATGCTTCCGCTGCCTTAGCGTTTATCATCGTCTTGATTGTTTCCGGCTACCTTCTAGCTCGTAAGTACATGAAGATAAGCAGAAGACGAGAAATAGAGAAAAAGATAGCTGTTCTATTTAGAAAAGAAAGATTTATTCGGTGTCATCGCTTCAAGAAAGAAACATAATGATGCGTGCTTGTCTAAGGGGACACCGAAAGAGAGAAAGAGAGAGAGATGAGAGAGAGAGAGAGTAGAGAATCTAGAAGGAAAGCGAGAAATGGGCGCCTGGTATGTCTGATGATCCTCTGTTTAAACGAATACAATAATCATTGGTGATGATGATGATGAGGAGGAGGTTGATGATGATGATGATGATGATGAAAGACTTGTTTCCTTTTTCTCTCCTATTCCGCTGAGTCTCCTTTTCTATTTCCCGGTGTAGAAGATAGCTTGCTAACTCAAATGATATTTTATGCACATGATGAAACAAAGACAACGACACGTATCCGTTTCTTCTCTTTGTTTACTCAACAACAAGAAACGTTCATCGTTGTCATTCTACTCGATCTATTTTTTCTTCTATTTCGGTAATAGTTTTCGGAAGGAGCAACAAGGAACAGAGCGATAAAACATAAAAATGATTCCCAATCGAATGTCAATTCGAATTAGCTCGTTGTCAGTTTAATTAACGAGATCTACACAATTTTCCCGTTTGTTAACTTGGAATAAGTTTTAGCGAGAAAAATATCTATCAAGCTTAGTTCTTGCGACGACAATGACAGCAACAATAAGACGAAAATGAAGAAGTCGAAGAAGCAGAAGAAGAAGAAGAAGAAGAACAACAACAACAACAATGATGGCAACTAGCCTAAAATTTTTTCAAAGTTTTTCTGCATGTAAATTTGCTTAGTAACATGCTTTTAAAGCTTTTCAAGCATAGACGAAGTTATCCGATTGTTTTTTCGATGACAGTCCAATCAATGGCATGCATCCTATCTATCTTTTTCTTGAAAGCAACAGTCTATGCCGATGGGAATTGTGTCTTTTGTATTTTCTCAATATGATTAATTTGATCATTCTACATAAAACTACTAGCTATCATCTCAAGGTGATCGCTAAAGGCCTTCATTTTCTCTGCTTTTCTTTTCTTTTCCAAAAAAACCGATTATTCTTTACTCGTATTCTACATACGAGAATTGTATGGCACGTAATGAAGAGCAACACAAGAATGTTGTTATTGTTACTATTGCTTTTCCTTTAGGCGTATATAACAACTTAGACTAAACGACATGCGACGTGGATTATCAAACATTTTCGGTTTATATATATTTTATGTTATTAGTTAAAATTAATATTTTTTAGTTTTAAACAAATAAATATTTTTTAATAACAAGATTGTTCATATGTAATTTGTGAAAGGAAAAATATAGTAAAATGAAATATAAAAAAGAAAATTAATTAAGACACGAAAAGAATTATTTAGACTCAAGTAATTTTTTATTACACGACGCTCAACAAAGTCATCAAAGTCGGCTTGAAAATCGAGATTCTCTATAAGAATAGTATCCGTAATAAAATGTTGCTCTATTTCTCTTAACTAAAAGTATACCATTACCGAATGATTTAATATAGGCTAAATCAGGAAATATTATCGAATGTGATAGGCAATTTAATTAAAAATGGACGTTACTATATTTTACAAAGTGAATAATAGAAGAATAATAGGAAAAAAGTCAATTGTTACTTTTTCCAATACAAAGAGAAAGAAAGTTACTTTTGAAATAATTATAATCTTCATAGTTCAACTTTCCTTTTTTCTTTTGTGATACGCACCATTTCAAAACCGTCTGTTACTTGATATAAGTTTGACTTTCTGCTATCGATCATTTTGCTCTTCTGTTTTTTGCCTTTTATTCAAGAGTATACCTTAAAGAAAAGATCGCTCTCATTTACTTCCTTTGTTCTGCGTTCGGTTTGTTTTCAAATATTTGTTCAACATTCACAATCATGATATGATGATGTTCAACGGTAAAATAAAATGCGTATTCCAAGAAAAACAAAAAGAAAAACCTCAAGTTGGTTATCGCACGCATATTAATTTTCCTTTTACTATATCTTGCAATAAATTTTCGTTTTTCTTCTCTTATAACACTAGAAAAATCATCGCTATTACCTCATGTGATCGACTAATATCTCTTTTTTGTAGAAATTGTTTTCGTTTGACCATACCCACTTTGCCAATATTTTTTAATTCCATTTCCTAAAAGAAACATTAAAGAAATAAACTGAGGAAATTCTTGAGGGTGTTTAGATTTATTATTTATTTATTTTTATTTCTATAGAACTAAATTACTACAAGAGAGACAGAAACACAGAGATATCATTCATGATTAGTTTGTTGAATATTTAAACAAATCTTCATTGAGACCAGTAATACACAAACTTATTGTATGTTCTTTTATTCTTATCACATTTTTCATTCTCTCATTATTTTTCTCTACTTCAAATCATTGTTAACTATACAACCATCATCATCAAAGCTAACGGAAACATGTTCGCTCTTTGTCTCTGTCGCTGTCTGTATCTACTCTAATTTCACTTGACCCCACCCACCCCATCCCCTCTTCGTCTACTTTTTTTCCGTCATTGAACGATGAACGCAAATTCCCAAGTTGACATTAGGCTGATTGGCATTATTCTATACTAACACCGGTTAGACTCTAATCAATTTTTCATCATCGTTCTCGGCTTTTTTCATAACATGCTAGCAGAACATACTTGAAAATTGAAATAATGTTAAATGAATAAGAAAAGGTTCGCAAACATTAAATTAATGACAACTAATCGTAAATGACAGCTACGGTTTTCTGGTATCATTACTTTTATCTCTTTTTTTCTTCTTCTTCTGTTTCTATTTGTGCGTATGAAAGGATTTAGCTGTTCCATAATTTCCTAGGAATATATTGAACAAAAGAAGCTCTACGGTTGTTGGATGTAAATATATTTATTTATATATGAAGACTGTAGCTACTAGCGAATACATTTGATTACTGGTTCAAGACAACACATCATGTATATTTACTTTAAAAAGATTTAATTATAATATTCCTTCAAATTTCATAAAAAGTTGCGATGCAGAGAAAAAAAACACATTGAGATGTCTATCTCAGCTTTCTTTATCTTTTTCATTCATAATTTACTTTTCAAAAACAGCAAATGAATTCTAATAGAAAAAAATTCTTGAATCCAATTTTGTCTACCTGTCTCTTTTGATCATGTCCGGGTTTGTGTGTAACAATGGTTGCTACTGTTTTCCAAGCCCTATCAGCTGTTAAATATGTGGGTGATAATATTGCTGTTTGCTGAGGTAAAATCGATTGTTCAAGAACCTTTTCTTGATATTGAAGCTTTCTTCCGTGAAAAGATCGTTTCATTGTTGATGATGCCGCCGCCGCCGCCGCCAATGATGATGATGATGATGATGGTGGTGGTGGTGGTGGGGGAAGATTTTTCGTATTTAATTGAAAATCCATGAGTTTAATATATTTCTACTGAGTTAATCACTTCGTAAATGATACTTCTATTGCTAGATATTTATCTAATAATAATAAAAGCCAACTGCACCTGCGCTCGTGTTAAATGCATCGATGAGTTTCACCACGAACATGAACATTAAAATATTCTATGCCCATGCATTTAATAATGGAAGTAGCTAACTCTTTTACTAGATTACTCACCATGACTAGTAACTCAGAAGCAAAAAAAACGGAGGCAAGGAAGGAGATAAGTAGGAACACAAGAAAAAGAGAAGAATAAATGAAGGCAAGAAAAAAATAATTATACTGAAATACACATACTGTCATATTGACGAATAAAAGAAAAAAACTTGACTTCACCACCAATAACTACCCATAAGAGCATTAGCGCGAATGGAAAGCCTTTTATTAATGCGAATGTGAGGCGGTCAGAACGGAATCATCCTAATCGCTACTCCTTGCTATCAGCTTGTACGTCTTTCTTTCTCACTTCCTTGTTTCTTACTCAGGCGATGCAACAAATAATTCCGAACACGCATAAAGACATGTCGCTTTTCTGGTTTTGTCTAATCGATTACACAAGAGATGATTTTTTCCATTAGATTAATGCAACATTCAATCAAATTTTTATCGAACTACAATCAATCGATCAATATTTAATGAATTAAAATTCAACTAATAAATACTTACAAAACGATAGATCGTTCGAATGGTTGATGATGTATAAATCATAGAATATGCATGCATTGCTCTACTTCGTCAAAATGAAAGAAAAAACGTTCTTTAACAATATTTAGTTCGATAGAAGAATAAAATGCCTTTCAGTTTTCGTTGTTTCTATCTATACGCAAGAAGACCAGCACATTATTTTTTTATGTTTATCATTATATTCATCATAGTAGTCGCCTAAAGACAATCAATGATGTTTGCCCTTATGATATGCAGTAATCGAAACAATAGAGAAAAAAGTACTTAATTGTGATTAGTACAACTGAAAACACTATCAGAAAATTAAGATTTTTATTATTTATAAAATAGAATGAAAAAAAAGTGTTTATGCTATAGAAAACAATTATTGTAATTGATTAATATTTATATATTTATAAGCAAAAATATCTGAAGTTCTGATCACACAAAAACAAAAAGAAAATAAGGAACATATGAAAATATGAAAATATTAGCGTGAAAGTGTATGAAATGATGATATCTGACAAGATTTTATTGAACATGAATCAAAATTTGAACTCGTTGATGAAGGAATTGAATCTAAAAGAAAGAAGAAAATTTTGATTTGTTTTTCATTAAAATAAGAACATACTTGGATTTATCGGTCGTTTCCATTTAGAAAAGGCTAAAAAAAAAGATGAAGATGTCATTTGTCATCGCAGGGCTTGAAAATAACTCTATTAATATTGATCACCTATTAAAGTACTTCGGTTCTATAAATAATATATTCACTATTTCATCATATAAAAACTATGCGACACGTTAAAAAAACTTTTTTTTTCATGTTTGCGCGTCAAATCTCGTGAGTGGTTGGCACACGCGTGTTTCTATAGACACTGATGTTTTTTTAGTTCGGTGAATATTCCAAAATTGTTGGTTGACCTTTTAGAAACGTGCTGATGAATTTAAAACAACAGACTTTGCCAATAATATCTGCAATTAATACTAACGAGTTTAAAATTAGCTTTGTTATTGGAGAAGGATGCGACAAACAAAATGCACGAAAATTATCTATTATTTTTTATCATGTTCGTTTGTTTTTGGGTCAATTAGGTCAAATTTTTTCAAAAAATTGCTCAAACATCGAATGGAATTTTCGATTCAAATATACTTTTTGTAAATAGGATTAAGCTCAAAAGTTGCCTTATCAGAATATGTTATAAAATGATCAATAGCTTAGGAAATGACTTATGCCTCATTAGATGAATCCTGATAAGAGAGAAAACTGAAAAAAGGAATCGTGACTATTATGAATCTTTCTTCTTTAATTATCATCATACAAGTAATTTTTTGACAAAATAATTTTACTTTTACTCACGTCACCTTTCAAGTCTAATTTTATCTTGGAACATTCTACTAATAAAGTTTTCAAAAGAACAAATTTCTTTCTGAAACATCAGGTTCTTCAACGTTTTCGTATTGTCCAAAATGTTCAGCAAAACAAAACGGCAACGTTCGTCCGTCAGTTTTTGAAATAGATACTACTAGAAAATCTTCTAGTTTTACAATGCACTTAGTTCATTGAGAATATTATTATCATAATGTTTGAATTTGGTATTCAACTGGAAAAATCCTAACAGTTATTTAGAGTTTCTCCAGTGTCAATATAACCTATTCAATGAAACAAAGCTCATCTGAAAAGAGAATTTATTATTTGGCAAGCTGTATTCGTTAGTATGCAAGGAAATACTTACTATCTGATTTATTCGTGAGCAGAATCCAAACATTAATTGCATTTAAAATAAAAATGACGAAATAAGATATTCATAACCAGGTTTTTCTTCGCTTTCCTTAGCTAATTCTTCCAATATGATTAAATAGAGTGTTTTTTTATTTATTAAATCATGTCTTTTGAGATCAGTTGATGGATGGTTTTCGCTCGCAGTCAAAAATTCTTTCAAAATAAATCCTCAATAAATAAAACTGATGCTGCTCAATAAATAATAGTCAATTTCACTTATGACTTTCTTTTCAGAATAATAATAGATTGTACTCGAAAATATATCTTATTGCAAAAATTGTATATTCAGCACTATATTCATTTTCATTGTCTTTTATTATATATTATATTGCGCTCACTCGGTTTTGTAAATTAATTTAAATTATTATCTTACCTTTGGCCCAAGGTAAAAATGGACTTCGTTTTTTATCTTTCTTCTCTTCATCTTTTAGTTTAACCTATTCATAAAGAAAAAGAAAAATGATTATAATAATTAAATGTGAATGCCAACTATGCTTTTTATTCTCATACAAAACTATTTGATCTTTCTTCATTATGTTTTGATAAGTGTTGTTTCGAATACGATATAGACTTTCCTTGTATTTCGTCTCTAATGCAATGCCTATACATATCTGATTTTAGAAATCTCGTATACGAATCATATTTCATTAATTGATAGATCTGAGATTGTGCTTTCTCAAATGTATGAATGCTTGGATTGGTTAATAATAATTGTTGACATTCATGTCGTGTTCGATTATCAATATTAATTCGACATGAACCATCATCTGTATCCTGTAAGTATGTTGACCAAATAGAACTAGCTTTTTGGCGAATCTAAAAAGCATTATTTTCTATTCATATCGTAAATAAAAAAGTTTATCATAACGAACTTCGTCTGGATCTGACAATTTTTTCAATTTTTCACATTCAATCCAAAATTGAATATTTTCTTGACTAAATTCTTTTTTTAGAAATTCGGTAAAAATATATAAGCCTATTTCATCATTGAGCAATTTTTCAAAACTAAGTGCCCATGATGTTGCCAAACAATTCTCGTCGTTTAAATCAATTGAACCTTCATTTATACTGGTTTCATGTTGTGATGATAATTCATGTTCATTATAGGCTTCTGTTAGAGTCTAACGAACAGGCAGAAAGAAAGAAAATTTTGAAGAAAACAAATCTGAAATATAGACAACATACCGAAGCAGTTGTTAGAATATAAGCTGAAGCAAATCTTGCACGTAAATCCTCAATCAATGATGGATGCTCCAAAAATGGGCTCGAAGGATGATAATGAAAATTATTTCCATCGATTAAATGCGAATCATTCGCAAATGAATGTCGACGAGGATGATGATCAATCCATAAAAATTGACCCGTTGTTGTTGCTGTTGTTACTGCTTTTGACGTTGAATCTTCTCCTAATTCATTATCAAGTAATTCAACATCGGATAGAGATGACGATGAAGATGATGAACATGGTACTGGACAAGAATCATCGTCGTGACTAAATCTTTATAAATGAAAATTCATTTTATTATTATTATTATTATTGTTGTTGTTAAAAAAAAAAGAAAAATGAAGCTTTTACTCAGGTGGTGGTGGAATACTTCGTTGATGTTGATCATCTTCTTCTATTGATGATCGTAATGGATTGGGTGAGGATGATTCTACAGATGATTGTGATGTTGTCCCTGTTGTACACGAATCAATATTTGAATCAATTGATGTAGCACAGGAACTATTTGTTGAACAAGTATCTAGAAAGCACTCAAAAATAGTTCATTGCCATAGAAAATTTAAGCAAAGCTACGGTTTAAAGTATGAATCGATACATTCATTGACGATAGCCGAATTTTTTAAACCTAACTTTTCTCTTCGGTAAAATTAAAAGCTTGATGGCAATGAATCAATCTGTGAGTAACGATAGAATAATATGTTCTAGATAAAAAACCAATGGATACTATCGAGATATAAAGATTAGAAACTGCTTTTCTCTCTGAGATATTTAGTGACATTTTCACTATCAACAGTCCAGCTAAGCGATAAGTCATATTCAATAGATATTATACAACGAAAGGAATCTCACGTGGAATTATCATTTCTATAGATTTATTCTCTTCAAATACGAATATTTTAGTGATTTTCTTAAAGAAAATATCTTTTTTATTCTTTCACACTGTCGTTTTAATCGAATATCGATTTTTTATTCGCTTTAATTCAAGTTTAAAAAAAATCGGCTCGTAGTTGAAATATTGTTTTTTTTAATGCTTTTTATCGTTCGATGTCAATTTTGGAAATTCGTCCAAACAGAACAATAAAATTTCATTGTTATATTTATTAATTTGAAAAGATAATAGTAGAAAAATGAAACAGTTTTCGAATCCATCTGTTGCATAGATGGATTTTGTTTCGAGCAAAAACAAAGTTTCATAAAATTTTAAAAAATCAAGAAAAAACCCGTTTTCGATTTCTTCTAGTGTCAAAATCAATTATGCCATGATCGAAAACTTATTGGAAAAAAAATATTAGCCACTTGCTGGAGTCTTCTTGTGTAATTGTTGATTTATTTTACATCCAGAACGAAGTGTTCAGCTCGAAAATGTTAATTTTATAGTTCTTTTATACATATGTATAGTTTCTTTCCCGAATTTATTTCAATAACAACTCTAATATCGAGTGACAATCAGTTATACTGAGGAATCTATAGAAAATTTACGAAAGATTAATACGTAGACACTTTTGATCTATACAAGAACTCGATAGAATATATTGCTAAGCAATGGTGTCATGATGTAAAAGGAATCGATGGAAAATATATCAGAACTTCTGAACAGGAAAAATGCGAATTATTATCTGAAAACAAAAAGAAAATTCAGACCAACCTGGTTCATCTAATGTATTTTTTTTGCGCTTATCTTCCATAGTACATTGATGATTTGAGCAATGCTTCGCTCGAGTAAATAAACATTGTATTATTCTATTTCTTTCATCAATTGATGATGCACGAAAAACAAACATTGAACTTGAATTATGTTCATATTGAAATTTTTTAATATTTTCATCAATTTTAATTGAACAATATAGTATAAGAGCAAATAATGTTGGTTGTGTATGAAATAAACAAATATAACTTAGATATTTTCCAGCTAAGAATTTAAACCATAATGGGCTTATATGAAATTGTTTACATTGAATATGAAATTCAATTTTATTTGATGCAGGATTTAATATTGAACGTTTGAGAAATTTTTGTATTTTTTTAACTAATTCATTTTGATTATTATTATTATGATCAATATCGAAATAACCAAGATAGTCAATTGAAGAAAATGTATATAATGTTTGATGATTAAATGATAATGATGATTGAGAATCAATGAGATTAACACCCGGTGTTAATGATGAATACATATCTTTTAATAGAATAATATCATTGATTTGTGATAATAACATTCGAAGATTTGTACTAATTAGAACTTTAGATAGACGCTGACGATTTATACTAGGAAAAGATTTTTGATGATGATGATGATGATGATGATGCTGATGATTAAGTATTGTATCTGATGTTGTACTGGTCGTGGAATCTTGAGATGATGATGTTAAAGATTCACGAGCTTTTTTATAGTAATGTTTTATAGGATATTTATTGGTTGTTGATGAGGAACCGGTGTTAATATCGCGAAGAATTCGTCCACGAAGAGCATCATTCACTGATATTTTCGAAGTTATACGGCAGGTAGATGGAGATAAAATATTTTCTTTACATTCAATACTATCTTCTTCATCGATATCATCATCTGGATCGAGAACCTAAAGTAAATCTTTCTTCTTTATTCAAGATATGAAAACATTTGATATGATGTAAAAATCTTACTTCAAGTACAAGCAAATTTGTATGTTTAGCATAAACGAGTCTTTTAACGTCATCGTGTCTTGCATCAAGTACATTATATCCATTAACTTTAGCTAAAATTTGTCCTGAACGAAGGCCACTTGCTTGTGCTAAACTGCCCGAATAAACACATATCGAGCAAGGCTGTTCATATTGAATTGCAAAACCAAATTTATCTCGTTCATTTCTACGACGTAATTCAATACGATGTAAAATAGAACGAGAATGTTCATTCATTTATGTTCAAATCTTAAATAGCAAATAAATAAAGAGTGAAAGCAAAAGAATTGAATTTTTTACACGAAAGTAATTTTTGTTTTACTGCATATAACAGAGAAAAAAAGAATTTGAAATATTTATTAAGAGTACAAAAAGAAGTTCATAAACACTGTTCAACAAAATAAAACAAATGTTAGCAATGCAAACATTTGCATAGCATGAAAAGTTTTGATCATCGGTGAACATTCGAAATGCATACTTCAATCTAAATATTAAATAATATTTTCAAAAATTGAATTTTATTCACATGATCAATAACAATGAATTGTCTTTTGTTTTTGAAGAGAATCCTTATTTAAAATAATAGATTAAAACAGAATATTTTTTCTATTGAGTGGCAAACTTTTGAAACAAAAATTTCTCATAACTAAATCCTTTGGTGGTCTTTAGAATATATTTAGGTTTTTTATTGCAGAAATTCAATGCAAGACTATGAATTTTATTCATTTATGTTTAAAATCGACACACTATACAAAACACTTCGAGTTAGACTGACACATATATGTGATTCTCCTCTTCGATTACTCGCAACTGTTATTTTCTAATAAATAAATTTAAATATTAGTACTTTGTTTACGTGACATTATTCTGATATTATTCAATTCATAGTAGAGAATCTTCTGGTTTATTAAACGCTTTCCGAGTGGAACTATCTAAATCGTAGAGATCCTAATGAAACAAAGAATATTCGAAAAAGACTGGAAGAAAATAATCTAGTACTTTTCAAATATTTCACATTTCAGGTCACGGTTCAATAAGTTATTTAGCTAATCCCAGAAATTAAAATTTTAATTCGACAGTTGTTAAAAAATCAGCGTTTCTGAAGAGAAAACTGATATTCATTAAAAAAAACACTGTAAGAACAATGTTTTGTCAGTGACACGTTAAGATTCTCCAATTAGTTTCTATTGAACTGCTATTTACTAATTGGAAGACTTTCTTCACCAACTTCATGTAGAAGTTTTCGTATCATTCTAAAAGAATATAGCTCAACTATTCCAAAAGATATAATAAATATAGCCTAATGACATATATTACTTTTTAGCTATATCCTTAATTATTTAGAATCATGTTTTAACCATAATTTCTATCAATGCAAAAACATTCCTATGATATTTATTTATCGGCAGCTGTGTAATTTTTAAGTAAGATTCTGTCATTGGATTATGTTAACACAAAATTAGATAGAACTTTTGTCTGAAACATTTTTACTTTTTAATATTGTATGATTCAATATTTAACCTAGGAGTGGCACTTTCATTTATTGTAGTGAGTCTGTTGCGATTACTCCTATGAATCGTCATATTAAAAACAGTAATATTATTGAGCACTTCAGAAATCTAAAATCAAAGAATGGTACGTTTTGCACTTTCTTCTTAAATATATCATCAGATACGATTGTACTCATTACTTATAATTTTTAAGAGTCTTATTACCACTATATTCTAATTAAAACTTTGAACTTACACATCGTAGGCCTTTCTCCATTGGATCAATGATAAAAATACCACGGCGATTAAGATCATTGAAATTTTTTTCTGCAATATACTCTGCAGCACGTTTAACACACTAAATATTATTTTCGTTTTTGTTAACACAAAAAATACTTGTAAATTGTACCTTTTCATAATGTGTAGACATACAAAGTAAAAGTAAGTAACCTGTCAAACAAGCACAGCAATTTTCCATAAATGCCTTGTATGATAAAGCTTCAGCGTCAGCAAAAATATCATTGATACCGCGTAATATTCCAATGAATTCATCGCGATCAATCTAAATCAATAAAACTAATAGCGTGAAAATAGAGAGAGAGAAAAAAAATTCATTACTCTTCCTTGAAGTTCAGAAGGAAACCGTTCTTGAAATTTGACTCCAGTACCCTCAGAATAATCACGTTGAATAAATAATTTTATAGATTGATCATTAGTTAAATGCGTCGTATCATCCATTGAAAATTAATTTATTTCAAACTTACGTAGGCAAATAAAAAGAAGAAGATGAAACAACAAAGTCCAATTTCGTTCAATGATTAACGAATGAGACAGATTTGATAACAAATAGTGTTGACATGTCTAGATGACGCTATTGAACAACAAAAGTTAATCGGATTTGATATACGTATGCTATGAGGAATGCAACAAACAATAGAAGCATGTCTCCATTTAATCAAAAAAAAAGAGGTTTTACTCATTGGATATTTTCATCGCTTAGTTATATTAGTATGTAAGACACAATTATATTTTTGAAATATGGCGGCACATACAAAGCAAATTTTTTAATATGCAACAAGAAAAAAATTTCAGAATGATATTTCGTATTGTTTATATCTACAAAAAATATCTATGTAGGTAAAATTCATATGTATCTATCTGTGTATTGAAGAGTAGCTATTTCTGTAGTCTCAGTCCAGAACGGATCTATTATAGAAAAATTAGAATGAACTAGGTGATGTTTGAACTTTACTCAGATACAATATTCGATGCAAACCATGAGTCTCGATTATTGAAGAAATCAATAGATCATGAAAAACGAATATTATTTTCTATGACGTTTTCTTCCAAGGATAAGGATGATTCTTATTCATTCGGACCAATGTTTCTCTTATCATCTATAAATCGAAAGAGATATGTTTATATCAACAAACATTTCAAAGATAGAAAATAAGAGAACTTTAGCTATGGTTTTACTTCTCACAATGAGAACTTCGTCGACACGTACCACCGCGTGTCCAAAGAATAATATCGATCAAATTTTTATTTTTCGGATATTCACTATCCATGATCGTTCATTTTCACAGCGATAAATAGAGAAAGTAATGACTGAATTTGTGTTGAATATACTAATTCTAATGTTGTTGAAACTTGAATAATACAAAATCTTTTAAACTTTCTCGTTTGTTTTTATGATATTTTATACTGAACGAAAAATTTCAAAGACAAAGGAATACAAATCAAAGCATCAATTCGATCTGTTTGCTTTTCATTCTTACTAGAATCGACATTTTCTAAGTTTCGCTTCTTCATATTATCAAAAGTTAGAAATGGGAGATTCTGCTACAATGAATACTATTTTTTTTTGTACTTAGTCTTTCTTCTAGAGAATGAGAACAACAAACAAACAAAAAGCATACGAGTCAAATCTGACCAATAGATTATGCTTTATACTATGAGTTGTACTTTGAGCATATGAAATATTATGTCAAGAGATTTCGATGTAGCTAATGACGTTTCCGCTGATTGTTGACAATAGTAGCTGTAGGTGAATTCGCTCTTTATTGTAAAAGAGAGACAAAATACGGCTATCCTACTTTTGATCTAGCCGTTCACACTGACTTTATGAAGAAAATGAAAATGTCAAGCAGCGAAATTAGCAAAATCGAACGGATCAATAGAAATACTACATGCGAAAATACTGTATTGATCTAATTTTTTTTATAAAAAATCCTAGATTTTAGTCAAACTTACTTCTATGAAGATTCCTGTTTTTTGCAAGTTGGTTATTGAGAATCAGCACAGAGTATCACTACTGTGAATTGATATGCTTCTATATATTGCCACCATCTATAACCGATTTAATGAAACTTCGTGCTAAGACGATCAATGGAATATCCACGATCATGATCGTGACCTCAATCGAATCCATCGTCACCGTGATGTGACTTAGACCATATAATTACTGATCACGCACATCTTTGTACATAAGGGAATTTCGTTAACAATAATGTCAATTCTTTGTTTTCTTTCCGCTTGCTTTCTGATGTACGATAAATATTTTTTTATGACCAAACACATCAATTTGATCATACAAATCGAATCTAAAAGTTAAATTTAATCATTAAATATTGTAATACTTGAACTTGAGAAATTTAGAAATTTACGAAAATCTATGCAAATCTATGCTTAGATTTAATACAATGCAATGATAACTGCCATGAATCATTCTGAGTCATCTAACTTCGCTTATAATGATTTTTTATTTGTTTGTCTACGAAGTTTTGTTTTGTTAATATTATTTCTGATGTTAATTATTCATTCAATAGCTTCATATTGAAAATTAAAATCTAATTTATTCATCATTAACAAGGGTAAATGAAATTATAAAATTTATAATGACATGAGTATATTTTTTCTCAATTTTACATCAATCATCGTTTATAATATTTTACTTCTTCACAGTTGAATATATAAATCAAGTTGTTCCAATGTTGATCGGCGATTCAACAATTTCATTTCATATGTCTAAGATGACAAACATCATCAGAGAAACATCACTTATATCATAATATACTGTTTTTTCCCTTTATTTTAAATTTTATTTTATTCACTACTATTGTATTTTTTTAATTTCGTATGAATATTTCTATATTACCATGCATATCAGTGATCAAAATATTTCTCTTGCTACTTTTTTGTATTTCACATATTCTACTTCTAAACCGTTCCAAGTCTTTTATTTTTACTTAAAATGAATCAGGAGATCTTCGATATTTAAAGGACTCTCTCTCTCTCTCTCTCACACAATGATTGGCATAAAAATTACAATTTCATCAAAACAATATTTGTTTAAATTACTCCCTACAGCCGCCTTGAATCAACTATGAGAATGATCATAGAACACTTTATGAAATGCATGTCGAATATATTTTCAAAGTTCTAGAACATTTACATATGAAGTAGATCAATGTGAAAAATAAATCTATAGGATGATACCTATCAAAGAAAAAGAAAACACAATTCACTAGACTTGATCTCTACTGAAGTTATATAGATTTATTTTTCAAGTTTGAATGTCATATCAAAGCAATAAATAGCTACTTTTCAAGTTTATTCAAGTTGAATGTCAAAGATAACAAGAACGAAAATGGTGAAGGAACAAGACCACACAGAATCGCACATAGAAAGACATAGAGATCCACATAAAAGTTCTCATCCTCATCTTCATTTCCTTCTTTTTTTAAATCCCCGAGACTTCATCAGTACATGAAAAAAGAAAGACCAATGCACAATATCACTTTCTCCAAAAAAAAGGAAAAACCATTGATATTTATGAAAAACAAATGAATAAAGAAAGAAAAACAAACAAACAAACAAAAAAAGCATATTATTTTGTGCTTCCTTTTCCGCCACCACCACCGCCAGCACCACCAGCACCACTAGCACCACCGCCACCACCTCGTCGAGCACCACGGGTTTGCATACTTTCATAATATGGTGAATGGTTATAAAATGATGAAGGATAACCAGTTGATTGATAACTTGTTGGAGAAGCAGCTGTTGGATATGTTGGACGAAATGTATGAGGGAAAGGACGACGCTTTTTAGCTTCAACATTTATTTTTTGTGTTTTTAAAAGATTTTCATGATCAGCTACGATAGCCTTTGCCATTTCAATCGATTGGCAAACAACAAACGCGAAATTTGCCGCACCAACTTGAGATCCTGTATTACCAATACGAACAAGTAAAAGACTACCATAAGGGCGAAATAATTCATGAATCTAAATGAAAATAGTTTATGCATTTAAAAAAGAAATTAAAATATTTTTATTGAATTAATTTACTTCATTTTCTGTTACTTGAGCCGAAAGATTTCCAATGAATATTTCTTGATCATCAGTATACCCAGTCGACAAATAACCTTCTTCACCTGTTCCATAATACCAAGAATCATCATAATAATCGTTGGCATCTTGCGGGTGACCCCGTGCTGTTCGATTATGATTACCAGTAGGTTTTGAAGCCTTTTTTTGTTGTTTATTTGATTTATTTGATTTTGTTCCTGCAGTGGTGGCAGTAGCAGTTGTTGTTGTTGTTGTTGTTGTTACTACTGTCGATGCTGACTGATTCTCAGTTGAAGTAGTAGCAGGTTTTTCTTTTTTACCGATAGCATCTCGATATGATTTTGGTTTTGCTGACGGTTCTCTTTCTTGACTTTTTGCTTGATCAACAACCGGTGTTATTGGTGGAGTTATTTTAGGAACTAAAGAAGTATTCGTCGTTTCAGGTTTATCCTCTTTCTTTTCAGGTATTGTATTATCAAAAAATTCAACGTTGTTAGAAGCTGATAGTGTCATAGGCGTTTCCATAATTGTCGATGAACTTGTTGTAGCGGACTGAGTTCCAAATGATGTCACTAGAAGAACATTTATAAAATTTATTCATTTCAAAATTGATTACTTTCTTGTATAAGCATAATTCAAGAATAGTTTTGTCTTGAAAAAACTCTTTATGCAATCACTATAGGAAGAAAAGTACGACATGACTGTTGTCATTACTAGAAAGAGTTATTCAAATGATCTTGCATTTATCTATGAACGAAAACTTTTCTTTTTGTTTTTAAATTGTTAAACTTAAACAATAAATTACATTGCCAAGAATTTCTATAGTGAACAAAAGAACTTCCTCAATATGCTTATCAGAGTTTTTTTACAAGTCGAAAAATCGCATAGTTCTATACTTTTTGATAAAGAATCTTTGACATATTGCGAAATTTTCAAGTATTTTGTTTTGCTTTTGTCGAGAAAATAATCGAAGATATTAGTTTGTATGAGTGATGTAGCCTAAACGTTTTAACGATAGTTGTATTGTAAGAAGGTAATATAAATTAAAAACTATCTATTTATCTATATGCAACGAGATCCGTCTTTATTCTAAGCTCCCAGTCGAAATTCAAAAACTGTCATTATAGTGTAAAAACTTTGCAGTGGCAAGCGTCGGATAGAAAATGTTTTCAAACTGGTTCTACTAGACTTGATTTAAAAAGACATACTACAAAACAACTCTAAAATACTAAAAAATATCTTCAAAACTTGAATCCAATTGTGACGCTACGAGTCTTACAGGTTATATATAAAAAAAAATGAAATAACTAATCCATAATGAATTTACCTTCACTATTATTCGTTAATATCATCGATGTTTTAGTATTATTATCGGTTGTTAATACTGTTGTTGAACTATCTTGATATCGAAAAATGTCGTTGTGTACATAATATTTTTGTTTTGAATTATCAGCTGGTGTTAAAACAAATGTTTGCACAAAACGTTTCATAATTGGTTGACTTTGAGAATCAACTATTGGTGTTGATGATATTTCTCCACAAACTTGTATAACAATTGACGAACCAACAGTTAAATGACAGTCAACTTGACGAATTTTAACATGACGCTGTTTTAAGGATAATTCTTCAATGCGTTTAGCTATAGCTTCTATGCCAGTTACACTTTTCGTGGGATCATCATGCATAAATGTCGATGTTGAGGAAAAGAAACGATGTAAAGATTCAGGATGCTCATGAAGAAGACGATAATATTGAACAACAAATGCTTTACCTATTTGTTGTGGTGTTGCGTTAGTTGAAGGTGGAGATGATGACGCCATTTTTACTGTTTATTATAACAATAGCAAGTATAAATAGAAGCGAAAAACATTAAAAAAATCTAGAAAATAAAATTCATAGTAAAAACAAATGATTCGAAACAATAAAAACATCGCTGGTAAGAGAATGGCTGACGTCATTTTTTTGTCTGCTCTTGATAATATAAATTTGAATACTTATCTCGTTTTAAAAGATAAACAAGTTTTTTTCAAATCTATCTTTCTGTTTAGCAATAAATTGATAATATAAATAATATAAACAACGATGATTCACATCAACAAAAAATTGTTTCATTTTTACGATATATCAATCGATATTAGTCGATCTATCGAAACAATATTATGTCTCTTATTTAAAATTATTCTGATGGTTATTAACAGCAATTGAGATGATCGAAATTTATAAATCGGACCACTATTGTAAACGCATATTGCCTAAAATGAAGCATTAAATATTCATTTATTTTGGATATTTGCACAGGTAGTAGATACATTTATAGAGCAACATCAATTTTTACGAAGACAAGAAATTTTGTATGCAAACATAGCAATTTATTATGCATGTAATTCAGTCATTCTAAAACTTTGACTCATTTGATGATCATTATCTTCGTATTTATATTTGTTCGAGTCTAAAACGATTATTCTTTGAAGAAAAAATAAACAGACATAAAAATCATGTAGAAAAACGATGTTTGTATCATCGTTTACTTAATATTAGTAGCTAGTTGACTTCTTCTTTGATGTTAAAGTCATAGGTAGGTTTTACTTTTGAGATTTCAGTATTCAACGTTTTAAAAAACTTCGAATCATTTTTAGAAAGTAAAAAATTCGAATGCAGGTCAACTCCTATTGGCATCAAAAAATGGAAAACAACATTATAAACATTACGTGTCATCTGTTAAATTATATTCAAGAGAACAAGAATTCTTTAACAGAAAGTAAATGTCAGTGCTATCAGATGAAATGCAAGATAGTATTGAATATATGTGTGATGATTAAAGGAATCCTGTTCTGGTATAATTAAGAGAGTGGAAACAAATCAGAAAAGCGATGGTCTTATTACTACGTAAATTATTTTTTGTAACCTATAGAAATAACTATTCTCTCTCGTAATAGTACGCTGTTCACAAATAAATCTAATTAATTCCTAATATTAAGTCAGCTTAATATGATGAAAGATTGAAAGAGAAATTTATAACGATGTTTTTTCGCTCTCAAATTCATTATCTGTTCTACGATAGAACATATTGAATTCAGTTTAAATTTGATTTTTATCAAAGTTTTGGCTTATTACAAATCTGCTCTCAAGTTATATCTATTTGTTTTTTGATAAGCAGATTGTCTTCGATGCTGCTCAATAACAAAGCATACATATATGTATATATACAAACTTAGGTAGCTAATTATTTTTCACATAATTGTTTTTCGTCCTTAGTCTAATATGAATAAATACCAGCTTGAAATCAATAGTATTAAGCATATTTAAAGGAAAATAGAATAAACAATTGATAGAAGTTTTTCTTTAAATTCATATACCTTATCAAATCATCATATTTGTTGTCAGTACTGGTTTTCTTCCACATAAATATCTAAAACAATTTAAACTTAAAAGAGTTATTATTTTATGACAGTTTCATGTTTTTAATTTTTATCAAGAGATAGCCTAGCGCAACTTCACCAATCTTCAAGCCTGACTTTCCCTATTACTCGATAGCTATTTGTTTTGATTAATTTATATGCTAGAAAAACAAATACTAAAGAATTTGAAAATAGCGTCTCGTGTGCACAACTCAGATGATCTATGCTTCGATATAATTTTTATTTGCTTTATTATACGTTGTATTAGAAAAATGGATCATTTTCCCGAAAGAAGAGTAACCGTTTGATCGATTCATGGAATTATTTAGATATTAAATTTCACTTCGCACAAAACTACATACAAACCGAACAAATGGCTGTTTCACTAACTATTGTTATTTTGGCTAAACGAATGGATTGAACTTATCAAACTATGAGAAGTAGTAAGATTGATAATGAAAGAAAAATCAAGCCTTTTTCGATGACTCATAGTTACTCCAAAAATATGCATTTGAATTGAAAAGGCATGAAGCTGAAAAGAATATTGAATTTAGAAACACGAGCACATAAATAGTTTCATTTGATTAAATATCCTAAATTAAAAATACTTTGTTGATAGAGTCGAACGAAAAACTCATTGAAGCAGTTTTACAGAGATAGAATAATCATAAAAAAGTGCAAATTACGTTTGAGAATCGTTGATTGTTTGAATAATAGATTTCAATTTTAGATATGAAATGGTCTCATCACATTCTTGAATAAATAGCTTGAAACAAAACGAAGAATTTTTTCGATGAAAAGACTTGAAATTTATTCTATTTACCTGTGCTTTATGTGACAAAATATCACACTCTTATAAGAATTACTTCATATGAATTTCAAAATGGATAAATTTCATTATACAAACACATTATTTTTCGATATCTTACATCAAGTCTATTGAGAAATATTCGAAAAATACATTAGTATTATTTTTTTACAAAAATCATATTACTTTAGAATTTGTTTCAACATTAGTATCAATAAAAATGTTGGTTTGTTTAACGATACGAATTATCTGAAAAAGAATTTCAAAAACAAAAATTTAAGAGGTACATTTAATTTCTGGTTTAATTAATCGATTACATTGATTTCCTATTTTGCTCTAAACTTTTAGTTTTATTAAAGAAAAAAAAAGAAAACAACTCCGTTTTCTTTTTCCTCATAATTATTTCTATACGACTATACTTTTATACCTGAAAAAATGAATTTAAAAAGACTGTTAAGTGGTGTTCCTTGTTTATTCAATTAAGTTAAAGAAGTGTACAAGATAAAATATAGTCCTCAGTTTTTGATTTCTTCATTTAACACCCACCACGTAGTGCTAAGACTAAATGAAGAACGCTTCCAGCGTTGACATTGTATTCACTAACTGTTTTGTCATCCATCATTTGTTTTCCACCGAATATAAGTCGTTGTTGTGGTGGAGGGATACCTATTTAACGAAAAATAGCTTATCAATTAAAAAATATATTATTTGGTCGTCTACCTTCTTTTTCTTCAACACGTTCCTTAATACGTTCGATTTTATCAGTTCCATCAATATCAACTTCAATTTCTTTACCAGTTAATGTTTTCACTTTGATCATCATCTTTGTAGTTTGAGTCTTGAGAAATTACGAGAAATATTAAAATGACGTGAGATGAAATACACTCTATTGTAATAGGTGCTTATAAAGTAGAATTGTGAATATTTCCCTTGGATTATATTAGATATTTGATGGATTATCAATCAGAACAATGTTTCTTCTTTTCAAATTGGAGTAAATTTTTCTAAATTTTCTGGAAAAATGTTTTATCAGATAATTAATGGAGAATAATATAGATATATTTCGCTATAGATTTGATATATAATCATAGATGTCAGCCTATGCTACAAATCAATACTAATTGATTTTTGTACAAATGCATTCTCTCTTGAGCATAACTATTTCGTATTAGGAACAAACATAATCTAACTAACTTGACTAGTGTTAATGAACGGTAATTTTTTCTGTTAAAACATGGAAGAGGGTAACAATCAGGCCATTCATAATCTTGTCATAATCGACTAGACACCTTTAAGGTAATGTTAATATGCCATCTGACTTATGTTTTGTATTCAGTTTCCATGAAGATGATCAAAACTGAAGAATGGTGCTAAATTTTTTCCATTGATTTTCTATTTCAGTAAAGCATGATACGAACTCATCCGTACAACTTAGCAGTCTTTTTTGTGTTTGAAAGAGTGAAGTCTTTATTGGGAAAGTTCTATGAATTCTTTTGATCGAAATAACTCACTGAAGAATTTCGGTTACACGTTCGGCTAAATTCCTACTTTGCAACTTGCTGAAAATTAGTGAAAACGAAGATACGCTTGATTAATACGTTTACTCCACGTATTCAGAATTTTATATGTATTTAATGTATGAATGTAATTGAAGTGATAATATTCTGATATTAGTTTGAAAGTTTTCGAATGCCCCTGTAACAGCTACCGTTGAAGACAGTTTTATTTAAAACGGAAATTTTTTTCTGACATACGTGAGTCAATTTATGAATCTGGCATTTTGCTCACAGTGAAAACTAATTTTTATTAAAATCATTTAATCAATCAAAACAGTTCGTTAGCAAAAAACTTGAGAAGAATATCGATTTTGAATGCAACCCTGAATTTGAAAATTTTATTTTTATTTACGCAAAATCACCTATCCGTAGCATTAGAAAATCGCAATGAAAGAGAACATAACAAGATCGAACTTTTCAATTGATAAAGGTTTCCTTCTGATTTCCAGTAGCGTGAAGTAGTGTCCTGCACGGGTGCAACTTTTCATACCCGGAGCCGACCCGACTGATTTTTCCCACACCCGGAACCGCCCGGACCCGGTGGCCTTACGCCCGGACCCGAACCGGACCCGGACAACTATACCCGGTAACCGACCGGCACCCGACCGGATTGTGGTCAAAATTTTGCTAATAGTTTATTAGTGAGATGATCTCAATGAGATAAATAATCGATAATAAATAATAGATAATAAATAATTGATAATAAAAGATCAATAAAAATAATAAATAACATCAAAAACAATGTTTTTGTTGTTCAACTAAGGTCTAGAAGATAAAATAGAAGTGAATTCAAATGAGAAATTATAGAGAAATGAATACTTACAATCAATAATATATAACATTAAAAACTACGTTTTTGTGGTAGAAGAGATGATGAAGAGCTGAGCTAGGATAAAAAGTAAAAATTAATGAACATGTAGAAGTATGTGAGAATGGATACTTACGATGATTCATGTAAATGTGAGGCGGTAATAGATCAGTTATATAAAGCAGCTAGCACACTTAGCGAAGTTTCTTTAACATATAAGTAGAACAATCGTGTTTGTGGGTTAGGTTAGGTGACCCGTCGTGACTATTGAATATATTAGTGAATAATAACCCAATCAGATTCACATTCCTATGACTGAAATGACTGAAATCGACAATGATATCTGAAAATTTCATGTTTCTTCTAGATATCACTAGTTGGCCGGTCGGGTGTCGGTTTTTTGAAAATTCCTCAGCCCGACCCGACTTTTTTTTCCAGAACCGGCACCCGGCCCGACCCGGAGCTTTTCACCCGGACCCAGGTACCGGGTCGGGTCGGGTGCCGGTTACCCGACCCGGCTGCAGTACACTAGCGTGAAGAGAAGATTGTATAATGGAAAATGTTCTTCACACGTGTTAGCCTTTGGTCTTTCAGGCAAGAAAACTAGCAAATCTTTGCGATGAAGTTTTTACGCTATATTAAAAGATAAAATTAAGAAAGAACTTTTTCACGATCTGTTATTTCATTCAAGCCATTTCTCTTGCGAAATTCATTTACGTGATAGTATTACTACTGTGTGATGCAATGACTCAATTTTAAAAAAGTTAAATATTCAGCATCCATATCAGAGCAGATGAAATATAAAAACTATCATTTTCAAAGGTCTATATTACTGAGAATTCTTATAATAGGTTTATGAAATGAAGAGAGAAATTGAGCGTTCGACGTGAAATTACTATTTGTGCATTGTTAATGTAAAATACTATGTTTTGCTTTAGACTTATGATCAGTTATTTTATCAAGCTTTCGTTTTTCGTACTATGCATGATATAATATGCAAAAATCGGAAGAATGAATTATTGTAAGTATGTACATCACAGTTTCTTGGCATTTTTGATCGTATGAATAGTAAAATATTGTGGGGAAAAAATGTTGAAGATCAATATTTAATCATTGTACTCAGATATCTTAACGCACTAAAACTTTATTCAAAGAGTAAATTTTTTTCCGGTTTAATGTGATTCCACGCTGGGAAAATATTATTCTTCAAAGCTTCTTAGTTATGGTGATCATGAAATTATATAGAAATTTTAAAAAATCAGCCGCAACTATTTATCTTTCAATGGCAATAATAGAAATTTATTTTTTATCAGTGTAGATTTCGGAATTTCTCAAATGAACCATTCCTCATTCCTAATATATATTCATGGCTACAGTTGAGATGACTTTGAAAAGAAAATGTCTTTGTCACTATGTGATTCATCATCAAGAACATCAAAACAATTCATTCTGTCTGTTACATAGATTTTATGTGAGTATATCTGATTTTTCTGTTGCAATTCTATACAATATTACTTAAGTCATGATGTAAAACAAAAACACAGAAACAACAATCGACTACTGAAATTATTTTTGAATCAATAATGAATTGCGAAATGAGAAGAATGTAGTTCATCATTGATTCACGTAATTATGATATTGAAAAATAGAAAACAAGTATAAAAGTACAATCGATAGGTTTCTGTTTCAGTTAACTGGAATGTTTCTTGTTTCTAACGTTAATAAATTGATAAGAGTCAGCAAATGGTTCTTGTTCTTCCAACATGAGTCAAATTTTCCCGTGGTGCATCATGAATGATGTTATTCGAGTTTTTTTTAATTTTCATATTTTAGTAAGCATAGAGAAGTCAAATATATCAATGGAAACTCTCTTCGGGTATTTACTAATAGTACTGAATAAGTATGTGAGTTATGAGTCATTTAAAATCTGATTCTTTCTATTTTAGCAAAAGAAAGAAGAAGTAGGCATTGTGTCATTCTTATTGATTTTTTTGAGTCACGCACACTTTCTCTTTCTTTCTCTCTTTATGTAGATATGTATATAAGGAAATGGTTCCTGCTTTTTCTAGATTACACATTGATTAGCTATGGCAGACTTTGTAGCAAAACAAACATCATCAGAAATGTCAAACATAGAATATCCTCGAAAACTTCTTCGTGCTGCAACTTATGAGTCGGTCATGCCTTCGATCAAACGTAGAAAGCGACTTCTAAGTGAACAGAATGAATATCAAAATTTAGTAACTCAATTGAGTAATGATAAAATTTACCCAAACAAAAAATCTAAAACAGGTAATTATGTCAGAAAGAATCATATCATGTGAGAGTGAATAATTGTTATTACGATATCATTGGGACAATATTATTCTCCAATGCTCTTTCATTGTATATGCCTACATATTTTTGTATTACCTCATCTAATACAAATTTATTTTTCCTTTACATTCAACCAATAGAATGGTATTTTGATGACGCAAAAGACGACAATCATAGTGTACTATGCTTTTCTTCTCTTTCTTCCTTCGAGAACACGATAAACTGTTCGCCTTCAACTAGTTATCAACGTCGCAAAAGTTTTACTTATATAAATGACCCTTCGTATTCACAACTGACATCAGTCCTTCAAACATCAACAACAACTACAAGTATGCTTGTCTGCCAGCAAAAACTAGTAATTGATAATAATAATGAAAATGAACAAGGAGATAAAAGCAATTCTTCAAATTTGATAACCTCAGCTCAAGTATCAGCCTATATCACAACTGCAATTAATATGCAAAATGAAAATCTATTAATAATTGATTGTGGTTCACCATTGCGGTATAATGAACGACGTATAAAAGAATCGCTTTTACTAAATATAAATGATAAATTATCGAAAAAACGTTTAATAAGTCGTGGCTTAAAGAATTTTCTTGATCAAAACCAATTAAACCGTTTAAATCAATCTGAAATTATTATTCTTTATGATGATTCAATTCAACGATCTTCGTGTTCATGTTCATGTTCAAACTCAACAGTTCCAAAAGAAATTTCACCAATAATGAAATGTATATTGAACGAAATACAACGATATGATTCTAAAAAAATAGTTTATATACTGCAATCATCATTCGATGAATTTTATCAATACTATCCAACATTTTGTTATATCAGTTTGTCTGATTGTCCTGATAACGACATATCATATGCTTCTCTAACAACAGATATTGAATCCTATACAATGTCTGAAGTAATACCCGGTCTTTATCTTGGTAATGCACAAGATGCTGAAGATATGAATTTATTAAAACAAAATGATATTAAATCAATCATTAACATTTCAACATCAATTCCTTGTCACTATGCAAATGAAAAAATATTTGATTATCTTCAATTACCTTGTTATGATTCGTGTCGAGAAAATATTCTTCAATATTTCGATCACACACTAGAATATATACATCAGAAATTATTATTAAACCAAAATATTCTTGTGCATTGCCAAGGTGGAGTTAGTCGTAGTCCATCATTTGTTATTGGCTATTTAATAAAATATCATTCGAAAACATTTGATCAAGCATATTCGTTTACGAAAGAAAAAAGAAAAATAATCAACCCAAATTTTTATTTTCTTACACAGTTGAAACGCTATGAACAAACGATACAATCAGCTATGAAGTAATCTTTTTTCTCGTTTTTTTCTATTATTTTATTTCATTTTTTAATGCATCCGATGTGTGTGTGTGTGTCAGATCAGATAGGACGTTGTTCTATTTTTCAATGGATTAGTAATCGAATTGATTTTTTACTATTCTGAGTCGTCAAATACATGCTTCGGTGTTAAAAACTTGCTTTAGAATTATGAGACACGACATCAAATCAACATGTGATATACAGAAAGTTTCAGTACTTGGGTGTGCTATTTCAAGCTCACCGAGAATAATTCAATGTGATTATTATTATAAATCATATGAATAGCGGGTGATATCTGAACTACGAACAGTATTCATCTACATTAATCTCATCTATTACAACATGGCACGATATTATTAATTGACTCACTCTTTTTTTACAATTATTTATCTGTTTAATAAATCAAATCTCAAACAATTATTCATTTACAAGAATATTTTTTTATAAGTCACATCGAACATAATCCATGAAATATAGATTTAATAGAAAATAAATCAATATCTTTTACATAAGATTTATCAATGTAAAACTTGAACAACAAATTCATTGTCGCCAGAGTAATGTTCAAACCATAAAATTAATATTTTATTAGTAATTATATATATTTACGTACATAAATAAAAAATTGATTCTAACATCAATTTCTAACCTTGACTTATCGACTTTTATTTGAACATTATCTGAGAGAGAAAAATGACAATACGACTGGAACAACGAATTCATTATATTGAATTGTACAACAGCATACTCATTTTTATTTTTATTCAGCTAATGCTAATGCTAATGAATAATAAATATTTATTTATTCTTTTCACCACAATCACAATTATTAACATAAAGTAGAATCCTTGTCAGATACAACTTTCCATAGTATATCTGATTAAATTGTATCCTGCACGACATCCATTTGGTGATATATGATATCAGGTAAGCATTTTGAAAAATTTGACTCTTCCAAAGTAATCCATCATGTAACAGTGAAATCGTTGCATAAAATAGATAGATCAAAACTGATTTATTATTTAGTCAGTCTCTTTTTCAGGTTAAAAATTTTTCGATTTTATTGAAAACACGTTGTCTATATTTTTTGTTGTTGATGACATTGAATTCTACATAAATATTGGATATAAACATGAGAAACTTGATGCAAGTATGTTTGTATGTTTACATGAATGATTATTAAATCATGACAATCAAAATTTTATTTCCCATAAAGTTGAATGGGTTACGCACTTCATCGAGAATATGTAGAAAACTCTTTCTTCTATCTATATATCGTATCGAAGTCACACTGTTTGCCGAAATTTTAACTACGACAAGAACCTTATCTGAGTCAACTGAGAAACACAGCTTTTGCTCTAATTTTTAAAAATATTATTTAACTCGTTGTCGCTCATCCGTTATGTCATATCGTTGAAGCTGAAAATTTTCAATATCAATCGTATTTACAACTATGTTTGTTATTGAAACTCAGGTTAAGTTAAGTGTTGCAGAGTATTGAAACAGGTCACTAGTGCTGCGTAATAGTTAAGAACAAAAATTAAATAGGCAATAATAAAAAGAACATGAATTTTTCGTCTAGCTGGTTTCAGTATTCGATATTCAATATTGACCATATTCCAATGGAACCACGTAATATGTTCTAGCGGCTATTATAACTTTCATCAACTGTCGAAAGCATTAGAAAAATCCACTTCACTAATGTAAAACATTACACAAGATGAACCAAAATGATCGAGAGAAATAGTCAAACATCAAAGCACTCCTAGTGAACAAAGTTGCCATTAATTCGTAATATCATTATTCAATGAAATGCGACAACAAATCATTCTTATTCAATTTATTCTGTTTCTTTTTTGTAATCTTTTTCTTTGTTAACAATTTCTATATTTAACAAAATATGTAATAATACATATAATTGTACTTTTACAAAATAAAGTGTAAATTTGCCATGAGATGTATTCTTTATGATTGTCAATCATTTTTCTTGTTATCTAAAGTATACAGTGAAAAAAAGAGAAAGACTTTCGATGATGTATCGAGTCGCATCAACAGTCGCTCTCACCATTTATCACAGGATTAGTATTTCTGACTATGAGCTCGACATTTTGATCAATTCACAATCGCGGCTTTTTTTCCTCAAAATAAATTATACAAAAATAATATTTGAGTATCCTGAAGAACTTTCAACGACACTATTCTCTAGAATATTCAACGATACAATATAGTGGTACCATCTTTTGTGCATGTTTTGCGTTCGTCCATATATGAGTTACATAAAATTTCTATTGCTACATCATTTTATTTTATCTTACATATTTTGTCCACAGTGTTATTTTCTATTCGTCCACTTGTTTTATACTGCTTGTTGTTTTTAATACAGAAAATATAAGTGAGAAATAGAAATGACCTCAACTTCAACGAACAAAACTTTTTCACTATCATCATGCGATTGGATAGGTTTTGATTTAGATCATACATTGATTCGTTATCGATTACTCGAACTACATACATTAATTTATGAATCACTTCGTCAATATATTATCGATACATATCAATACAATTCCCATCTACTTAAGATTCCATACGATAATGATTTTGGTGTTAAAGCTTTAATTTATGATAGTTCATATGGAAATTTAATTCAATTAGATTCAAATGGTTTAGTTCATACAGCATTACATGGTGTTAATACACGTTTATCCTTCGAAAATATAAAAGAAATTTATCCAAATGCTTTACAAGATATCGAAGAAGATAAAACTAAACGATTTCTATGTATTTTTACGTATTTTGAACATTGTGTATCGTATTTAATAGCAAATATTGTTGATTTAATTGATAAAGAAAATTTATATGAAAAATGTTCAAATCATAAAATCGATCCGGAGAAAAAATATAATTTCTTTCTCATTGATCTTTTGAGTGGATTTGAATATTTATTTAATGATTTTCAACGTGGAAATTATTTTTCATCAATACGTGAAAATCCAAATAAATTTATTTATAAACGTTTGGATGTTCGACAATGGTTAGAAAAGTTGAAAAAATCGAACAAAAAATTATTTTTAGCAACAAATTCGCGTTTCGATTATACAAATCTATTAGCAAGTTATGCATTTGGTGATGATTGGCAAAATTTATTTGATTTGATTATTGTTGATTGTAAGAAGCCTTCATTTTTTAATGATTTAAATAAGAGATCATTTCATCGATTTATCGATGAAGATAACATTCTTCCAGTTACTATTGATGAAATAGTTAAAGATTTTAATCAAAATTACATTTATTCATTGGGTAATAGTGAAGATTTACAAATAATTATGAGTCAAATAAGTAAACAAGAGCCGATTGTCATCTATTTTGGAGATCATATAAAATCCGATATAAATTCATTAAAACGTTATACAAATTGGCTGGCGGGAGTAATTATTGAAGAACTTGAATTTGATTCACCGCCAACAATTGTTCATACAACTAAACATCATTTAATAAATCAATCATTAACAAAGGATGAATCGTATATTAGAGGGAGTAAATCTAAATATTTCTCCAGTTTTTTTAGTTCTCCATCAGATTCAATTATTTTCAACGATGATGATGATGGTGATGATAATATAAATCGAAGAAAACTCGAACAAACTGAACCTGATGTTGCATTACCATCTTTATCATCTTATTGGTATACTTATATTACTAAATATGCACATTTGAGTTTAAGTTGTTTAAGTGTATTAGCAACTCAAGTTGACTTAGATCATCAATTTCAACATGATGAAAAGACGCAGCATTTTGTTCTGCTATCGAAAAAATGAATAAAAAATATCGTCATGTATTACTCGAGTATCATGCAATAACTTTGTTTTTCAAATTCATAGAAATAAGGATGAAAGCAAACGAAAATATGTATTTTGTACTTTTTTTTCTATAGCCAATTATGGAGCACAGTTTGTTTTCTCGCTGAAAATGGCATGCCAATTAAAATATGATAACAAATTCATGTTAAGAATTTGATTTTGTTTTTTGGAAAACGAGAGTTTGACATGTAAGTTAAGGCAAGAAACTGCGAAGGAAAATCATATCAATATTTAAAAAGTAAAATTTTCTTTTATTATTGGCAAACAAGCAAAAATTCTGTTATTAAATTTTTTTAATTAGTACTAGTTTACTCTAATGCTCATACTAATTGTATTTTACAGAACATGATAGTAATTATAGAAGTTCGTTTTTATTCATGTGGTAAGGCGTTTATCGACAGATTTTTGCAATTCATCGACACAGTAATGTACAAATATTGAATCAACAAAATCAAATAATGTTGTACATTCTACGATTACATTTCAAAATGAATCGATACGAAAATTACATTTAATTAGTATGATATCATTTATATTTTTCATTCGTGAAGAAATTGATAATCATGAATGTCACAGAAGTAGAAGAATAAAAAGGATACGAGAACATGAATTTCTTATATAAGAGTGAGATCTATAAGTATCTAAGACGATTATTGTCTTGTTTTAATTCAATCAAATCCATTGTTGAGTTCATTAAAAAAATTCATACTCAGTATCATTGATTGATAATTCGATAAAATATCATTTAATTGTAAGAAAATGCATTGTTAATTAATAAATTTCATAATTATTCTGAGAAGACAAACCATCGAAACGACTGCTTCTCTAGTTAATCTTCTACGTGAAAATTTAAATTCAACTTCCTATATATGTCTACATGGATCATATCTTTAATTATCATCTAGGAATACTATGAGCATTAATGACTGTGCTCGAACTAATTAAACTTTATAAGAAATTAACTATGGCTATAATATAGCTTGAAATAGTTGTTGACAATAGTCAATCATCGATGACTTTTCACTAATACATTAAAATAATTGATACGAGAACTATTTATATTTGATCAAATCCTAACATTAAATTGTACTATACGGTTCTTTAACCCTTTCCGGTCGGACGTATCCAAGCGGAAACATTTCCTCTTAGGAGAGCGAGCATGGCATTTTTTAAATAGCCGACCGGAAAAGGTTAATGATGTTTCTCTAAAATAATATTTCCTACAATGTTTCAGTTCTATCTCATAAGGTAGTAAAATCTTTGAAGAATCTTATTATAAGACTAACGTTAGAGTAATTCTAACCATATCATGTGCAGCATGATTTGTGAAGCGGGTTTTTATTTCTTTATTTTTCTGTTCCTCAAGAAGTAGAGTTTCGACATTGTCGATTTCGATTGTTCGATTTTTTTTATCTTAATAATGTTCAGTTATTTATAACATAAACTCTCAGAAAAAAAAACAAATATTTGTGAAGCATAACAAAATATTGAGAAGAATAAGAAGAAATTTATTCAGTTGAATTTGATCAATAAAGTTATTGTAAATAACAGAGGAAAATTTATAGAATGAAAAATATCTTATTCATATTGATTTTTGTCGTCATGATGATTTAACATTAGCTAATTAATAGTGACTAAAAGGAAGAACAAACTATTTAACATATCATTGTATCATTTTAATTAATTATTTGAATGAAAATCATAGAAATTTTTCGTTTTTATGTGCTGCTAGAAAAAAATCTATAGTGAAATTCGATATTAAATATCTAATTCATAAAATCCTAGCATAAGATAATCTATGTCTCAAATAGTTTTTAAACATCATTGATTGCTCATTTGAACGTTATTTTGATATCAATCACCTAGATAGACACAACATGATATTTTAACAAATGGCGATTAACAATTGAAGTTAACAAAGCTGTTGACTACGCTTGATTCCGATTTGAACTATAGTGAAGAATTAAAGCACATTATTGACAAAGCTAACTAGATTTGGTGGTTTGAAGGAACAAACTGGATTACTATGTGAATGTTATGCTAAGTATAGACTTTTGTCTACTAGTTGATGTATAAATAATTTCAAATGTTTTATTATTCGTTGAAGTTTCTTCATGTAGTCAGATTAGTTAAATAAATGTGTTTTTGTGTTAGTTTCTAGAAGATTACATTTTATTGATATATCACACTTATATTGCACATAATATCAAGTCAAACTCAATACATGAAATGAAGTAGCCATTTTTATATTAAAGATTCAAGTGATGACTTTAATTATCCATGTTGATCCATTTGTAATAAATAGATGATATTTTCTTGTATTGTTTCAAAATAAAAATAAAACATTAAGAAATAAAGAGACCAAGAGAATCGGATTACCGAGCACCATTACGATACGAGAAGATCAATATTATTATTCAAATACATAGAGAAATAGACATTATACTATAAAGCCACCAGGAAGAAGTACTTCAATCAGAATGATTACAGAAATCTTAAATATTCGAATCTTCTATTTTGTAACATTTAATAACATCTATTTCAAAGTCGATGGCGTTAGTAGACGCCATTTAATCATACATGTGTTGTTTCTATTGGCCATTGCCAATGATTATCTGAACTGCTCGATATTTCATCATCTCATTTTGTATATATTTATTGTAAACTTGTCGAAAATTATATATTGGTTTTACTCTGTTAAATTTGTGAATACAATTCAATCGATAGTTTACAAATAATGTACTTAATTGAATTGAAAAAGTAATATAGTTCTTCATCATGTTCAAATGTTATTTTTAGCGATAGATCGATCATAATGAATCAAATCAATTTAATCGACAAATCAAAAGATTTATGTTGTTAAGCAAATTATGAAAAATATTTGCGCAACAATTTCATTTCGATGATATAGCCGTTAGATCTAATCACAACGAGATATCCTCTTCTGTTTATCTGACTGAGTTTTCTTCACCATCCTTGTAAGCAATCACCCAAATATATATCGAGGAGCTATTGTATATAACACAAAATGATATTATTGTTATACACAGTCTTTGATTATTTATGAACAATTTCTATCAATGTCTGTAACGAAGTGGAACGTACTCTTTAAAACTCTGTTATGATATGTCGAAGAATGAAACAGAAAAACTATTGGGTTAAGATTCTATCTTTATGATTTACAACTTCTTCTAGATTGTACTTTACAAAACATATTGGAGAACTTTGCATGGCTTCAAAACAAGCCTCAAATAATAAAAAAAAAGAAACATGTTTAAATGTTGAGATAAAAGACTTTATTGAATTTGGCAATCAAATTGATACTAATGATCTTCTACCTAAATGGGCACAGTATGTATTCAATTAATATAAATATTAATACTAATCGAATAAAACTGATAGTCTTTACTAATTACAAATCATTGTAGAGAAAATGAACTCCGTAAGAGTGCATCTTTCGAATTGTATATATGTACGAGATCAAGAGTAAGATTTCGATTCGATATGACTAAAATATTATCTAGGAGAAAATTTTTCTCGTCTATCAGTCACTATTGCGATTAAGAATTATGTCAGTTAGTAGAGTGCCGTAAAAGGATTGCAATTATCTTTTTTTAAGCACTTCTTGAAAGATTATCTTTGAGCTAATAAAATTGATGTTAACATCAATTAGTAACTGTAAACTATTATTTAAAAAAAATTGTATCTACTCGTTAATTTTTTTGTCTCCAATTCGAATTCAAATACTGTATGTATACTGATTTATAGTATGCATCTACACGTTCAACACAAGTAGATGTTCAGTCAGCAAATCTTTTTAAAATTTTAACATAAAATTTATATTGCCTATGTACAAAACTAAAGTGTTATTTCAACTATGATGTTTTATTCATATATTGAGAACTTGTGTTATGCAATTTCTACGGATTGTCATAATTATTGATGGAGAACCGATATTGATGTTTGAGAAGTTTGTCTGATAGCTGACAAGCACAACAGTCAACTCTATTAATTCGCTTTGTGGTTCTAGAATTGAGAGCTTAATCGTTCACCAAATGGATTGTATGCTATGCAATCATACAATATTTCTTTCAATTTTCTTGCAAGAACTACGACGGCAATCAACAGTTATCAACTGAGAAACTTGTAAATTCTACATAGATCACTATCGAAAGATTATTAAAATGAATATTGTTCTATGAAAATGTTATTACATGATATTATGATCGTGCGAATGTGATAAGAATTAATATTAAATTATTTGAACTACGTAGATTATTTCATAGCTTATATACTTGTTGTCTTTCGAGGATCTATCGTAAAAAAACATATCAACTTTTTAAATAGAAAAACAATGCTTAGTGCACTATATTTTCATACAGTAAACTATTAAGATAACAGTTAAATAAAGAATTAATCTTATGTTTATAAAACATTTTAGAGAACAAGAAAATATGGTTCCATCAATTATTACTGATATTGATCAAATTGAACAACCAATAAAATACATAGCTGGCTTAGATATAAGTTTTGTTAAAGAAAGTAATAAAGCCGTGGCATCGATGATCATATTTGATTATGAAACATTAAATATTGTAGCTAAAATCAGTATATATTGTATTATACACACTCCTTATATATCTGGTTATCTTGCATTTCGTGAAGCTCCAGTGTTTATGAAAATAATTGATATTCAAAAGGAGCATTGTCCTCATTTGGTACCACAAGTGATTTTAATGGATGGCAATGGTGTTTGGCATCCACGCCGTGCTGGTATTGCTTCACACTTTGGAGTTTTAAGTGGAATCCCATGTTTTGGTGTATCGAAAAAGGTTCTCAATACTGATGGTATTACAAGGGAGAAAATTGAAGAATTATTAGCTGAAAAAGCTCCTGAAAAGGATCAATACTTTGAAGTAAATGGTGACAGTGGAAATATTCTTGGCATAGCTTATAATGTGACTGGCTCTGTAAAAAGTGCAGTATATATCAGTGTTGGACATAAGATAACATTGAAAACAGCTTGTGATATATTCAAATCAGTGACTAAATATCGTAATTGTGAGCCAATAAGACAAGCTGATTTACTTAGTCGAGAGATAGTCGCTCAGCTTTCATAATCAATACTTGTTGATATATATTTTTTTGTAATCTTGAATTCTGTTAAAGAAGATATACTGTAATTTTATTTATTAAAACGATATTTAGTTGGCACATGAAAAATACCAACTATATACGTGTCTCTTCTCAATTGTAACATATAATTAAAATCCAGAAAAATAGAAGTCATTCATTCAATTCGCAAATTATTTTCTTGTTATATGTGATTGTAAAACTTCTGTTTATCCACACCCACGTTTCATTCTCGAAACAACTGCTCAGATGAACTCTTTCCAATCGTTTAGTTTTTGTAAAATATAATCCAATGGTTGATTAAGGTATGAGAATCGTTTTACTTTCATCAACAATTTATATATCACGCGTATCGATGGTAAAGCATTGTGGCAGCTATTCAAAATATTTGATAACCTATATAAAATGATTGTGACTCATCTCTAATTTTCGTATATATCATCTAATCAGACTTCAAATATTTCTAAGAAATTACATATGTTCACAAAACATAGGCCATTGCCACTTAATGTTGTGTCATCAGCTTTGTGAACGACGACATTTATACATTTATTGCCATTAGATTAAGCAAAACGAATTCACCATTTAACCATTGAAACATTGTTTTTTCTTCGAATTCTACAATATCTTTCTATGACATCATCCTCAAAGATGTTTGAGAGTATACAGAGTTTAGACGTATACAATGAGTTTTTATGCAAGATTTTCATCGTATTGACTGATTAAAGATCATCGTGAACTTCTTTGTATAAAACTGATCGTTCATTCAAAAGAACTTGTAGGAAGAAGAGAATAGAATTCCTGAACATCTCTTCTATTAAGATTGAAAACTTACCAGGCTATGGTTCTCGAAGGATTTAGTTATTATCATATGGGAATCTCAACCATTTTTGAAAGATTCACAGTCTTCTAGAGAGAGAGAGATAAGTACTCATTGGACATCTATCTGATGATATCACTGGTGCAATAAATATTTTCCATACCTGCCTAGGAATGCGCAGTGTCGGTGTAAATACTGAAAAACTGATCACTGACCCACCGACAGTGTACTCAGTAGTGCACCGACTATACTGCCGGTGTGCCCAGTGGAACACCGGTCACACTGTAATCAGTGTCACTGACACCGACTTCACTGAAGCACTGATGATCAGTGAAACACTGACAAACCGACAACTTTTGATTGACTGAAGTTTTTAGTCAATCAGAAAGATATCGGTGTATCAGTGTTTCACTTAACACCGATGTCGGGGCCGTCAGTGTCCCTATCTCCAGTGTTTCAGTGACACCGGTGACAGTGTGGTCGGTGTTCCACTGTGTACACTGCCGGTGTAGTCAGTGCTCCACTGGGGAACAGTGTCGGTGTAGTCGGTGCTCCACTGGACACACCGTCGGTGCACGTCGGTGGCCAGTACACCGACACTGCACATCCCTATACCTGCCCCCTTTCTGTCCCGTTTTCAGCAGCTATAAAGTAGGATTTGTTAAAATTGTTCAATGTAAGTTTTATTTAGAGGAAGCACTGTTACTTAGTGAGATATTCATTATTGTTGATAAGAATTTGAAATCTATCTATAAAACAATGCACAGTAACAAGTTACTAAACGAAAAATAAAAATTTGAAACAGTTTTTATTAAAAACAAAAATAACGACCATTTGTTTAGTTTTGTTCAGGAGGAATTTAGGTTTTTCTTCATATACAGCTTCTCTACAACGTTTGAAATAAGTTATTAACTTACGAGAAAATTACTGAAAATCCTTCATGATTATATAGGTAATTATACTTATCGATATTTTATACTGTTTATAATTTCCACACTGAAGACTTACTATTACCTTTACAAATCTATATAATTAATTATGAGTTATGAGTGATTAAGAATGACAATTAATAATGAGTAATTATTAATAGAGAATATTTCCATGAGCTGCATACGTTAATATCTCCTAAATTACGAGCAGTTACAGTAACTCAAGAATATCATAACTTATCAGCTTCTGGTTCGTTTTATTTTGATTTACTTTAGTCTTTGGATCAAAAACAAAACATCTGCATTGAATAGTATTCATGTACAATACAATAAATAAAATATCAAAATCATTCAAAACCGGCACGTTTCTCTCCACACTCGCAACAAAACTTAGCCCATTCAACAGGAAAGCTTTCACCACATTCATGACAATTTTTCGGTGCTGTTGATGCGATCGGTGCTCGTATCTTCTTTTGTTGATAGTTGAAACTACCATTCAGTTGTGAAAGTCGATGCGTTGGACTAGGTGATCGTTTTTTCATTACTATTGTTCGTTGTTGTAATCGTGGTGAAACATCCTTTTTTTGTCGTTCTCGTCCAACAGCTGCTATTAAGTTCAAATCATTATTTTTAATTGTTCGACCTGTACGCATCATACCTGGCAAGTAATTTCCAGCTGCACTTCTTGTTTTTGTCACTTGATCACTGCTGAACTTTGGTGACTTGCCATTCATAGGTTTTCTTGTTATCTAATTTAATATAAAAAAAAATTGTTTTTCTATCGTCTTACTTTTAAAATAATTACTTCGTTAAAAGTTATTCGTTTAAATGTATTAGAATTTAAAGGTGTCCTTCGATAATCTTTTTCACCATTTGTTCTACAAATGTATTTACAAAACAAAATACAGAAAAGCAAATAGGTTCCAGGATACAATTTACTTACTTTTGAGTATGTTGTGATACTAATGTAGATGGTGCTGAATTAGTTTGGAGTTGTTGCTGATTTAAACGTCCTTGTCGTCCAATACTACCAGCAGGTGTACGTGTATTATTGGTTGTTGATGACGTATATTGCATTTGTTTTCGTTTAAATTGTGTTTCACAACTAAATATTATGAATAAATGTTTGTTTGAAATAAGCAAAAAATTTTCTTACAATGGAATATGTCTTTCTGCTGAATATTGATTGAAATGACGTTGACAATATTCACATTGAATATAATCAGTTGGAGCCTGTGACGACGTTGACTTAGCTTGCGGGGCACTGTTCCCCGTAGTCTGTGTGACTTGTCGTGCTTCACGAATCGTACGAACAAGTTCATTGTGTTCTTCTCGCCAGTTGCTAGTTTTATTCTTCTTATAATCTGCTTTAGGTTTTATACCTTCTTTATAAAACTAAGATTAAAAAACTATAGATTTGAATTCTTTTGAAAAATATGATCATTATAAAACCTGCGTAGTTTCTTTTGTTGCCACATAAGGTACATCGGAATCGTTAGCACGTTGTTTACCCGTATCAAATATTTTTCGAGGCACTTTTTGTGATGTTTTTTTGCAGATTGGTTGATGTTTACGCTAACAACTCATAGAAATAAAAATCCGAAGAATAAACTATTAGTTTTAATTTAATTTACTAGAGATTCAGCATTGAAACAACGATTGCAATTTGAACAAGGATACGTTTGAATATCAGCATAAACAGGTATTGATTGATTTTCTGTTATTTGATAGGAACCTTCAACTAGATTATGTTTCTCTGTTCCATACATGTCACTATTGGCTTCCGCCACGTCGCATGGCATATAACGCTCTATGATTTTTGTTTTTCTTTCATTCTACAATGTTAATACAGAAAATTTTCTCTTTTCTCATATGTTGCATTGAGAAAAGATTAGCATTTTTCTTCTTTCTCACATATGAAGGATTGATTAATAGGTAAAAAGAAACAAAGTTGAGTTTTGTCAGTCAGAAACTTATTTTACAGGTCTTTTGTTTTTAATAGATGTCTCCATTCTATGGAGGCTCACAAAAAGAAAACGAAAAATACTGTTCGACAAGCATATCTACCAATTCGAAAATACTATAACAATGTCTGTCTCCCAATCAATATCAACTATATCACGCCAACGTGTATCGAGATTTTTGACGAAATCGGTCCTTGATTTCAAAGTGCAATCATCAACTTAGACAGCATGTTGTCAAAGACGATACGATATTATAATAAGCGCAGCTTATCAGTTGATGTATGAACTAATATGAATAAATTTAATGGAAACTCATTGATAGATTTGAATTTTAAGGTTTCGGCTTATACACGAGTTTTGGAAGGATTTCGCGCGTGTGTTGGAAAGTAAAATTGATTTATTATTATGATTATTTTTACATTTCTACACATGGTTTAATTTATTAGTACACCTTTAATTCGGTTGCCAACGCTGAGTAAAGAAACTGGTAAATACTTCTAATATAAATTAAAGAAATTAATGCTCTCTCGTGTCAAGGTTGCAATATTCTTGTTAAAGCTGAATATCTCAATCCTGGTGGTTCAATTAAAGATCGTGCTGCTCTTTTTTTAATTCAAGATGCACTTGATAAAAGTGAAATTCTAGAAATTTATAATTATATGAAAATTTTGAATCTTGTATAGATTTGATTAAAAATGGAGCTACTATTGTTGAAGGTACTGCTGGCAATACAGGAATTGGATTAGCTCATCTTTGTAATGCATTGGGTTTCAAATGTGTTATTTTTATGCCTGATAATCAATCAAAAGCAAATCATGAAAAAATCTATTATTAAATTTAGTAACCAATTTTGTTTTTGCTTTATTTAGGAAAAAATCGATATACTACGAGTATTAGGTGCACAAGTTACAACAGTTCCTGTTGTGCCGTTCACTGATCCGAATAATTATAATCATCATGTAATTTTGTTTTCCTAACAGAATATTTCTCATTCGAACGAATAATGCATTCTCATAGGCTAGACGTTATGCTGAAAAGCATGAAAACTCATTATGGACAAATCAATTTGATAATCAGGCTAATCGAAATGGTCATTATCTTATGACAGGACCTGAGATTTGGACACAGACCAGTAAGAAAGCTCTTTTGATGATAATGAAAACATAAAGTATTGGTTTTATATCTAGATGGTAAAGTAAACGCTGTGGTAATGAGTACAGGTACTGGTGGAACGTTGGCTGGTATCAGCATGTATTTAAAAGAGAAAAATAATAAAATTAGAACTGTACTTGCTGATCCACCCGTATGTCAATTGATTTTCCTCGTTAAGTTTTTATTTATTGTTACTTCTGATGTGTAGGGTAGTGTTTTATATAATTACATCAAATCGGGTAAACTGGAACGTACTGATGGCTCATCAATTACTGAAGGTTAGTTTGTTCGAACTATATAAAAAAGTAACATCTCTACTCTCTCTCTTTCTCTCTCTCTCTCTCTCTATATATATATATAGGTATCGGACAAGGTCGTATAACAGATAATTTGAAGGATGCACCTATCGATGAATCATTATTTATCAAAGATCAAGATACTGTTAATATGGTATAAATGCTAAAAAAACGACATTTTCTGTTTTAAATTACTTTTTTTAAATAGGTTTTCAAACTTTTATGTGAAGAAGGATTTTTTGTCGGTGCTTCATCAGGCTTAAACGTAGCTGCAGCTGTTGAATTAAGTAAATCAATGCCTAAAGGTTCAACAATCGTTACATGTCTTTGCGACAATGGACAGGTACACATATATAGACTTCAAACTAATCATCCATTGGAATTTTTTCATATCTTAACGTAAGGTGCGGGCAAGGCGAATTTCGAGTAAAAATTTTGTTTTTCACCATTTTTTATATGATTTGATAGAGCGTGAGCTGCTGATCACGAAAATCTACTTTTTAATCTTAGCAAATGCTTTCTTCCGGTCGAAAAATACGGAATACCGGAAGGGTGTCGTTTCCTGCAAAAAACATATCTTTTTCAAAATACATCAGATTTTCTGTTGTATTCTTTTCTTTCAGCTTTTGAAACTATTTGTTTCAGATTCAGCCTTAAAAACTGACTATAAAGAGGCGTTTAAATCAACCCG